CCACCGAAGATCTGACCAGCTGGTACACATTTTACTGACCCCGCTAGAGACAATAGACGCTTATGGAGTTGAGTCAACCCTCCCTAGTATTTAAGATTTATAATTTCCTTTAACTCGGAAAGCCTCATTGAGCTCAAGACTATTTCTCGGGAGGGTTCCGCATTGGGATGTTTGGCCAATCCCATTAATCAGACTGTGGCTTCGTGTGGGAGAACTCACGAGAGAACCCAGCACACATACCAAGGGCAATCACTCAGCACTGCTATTTCCAGACCGCCTCGTAGCCCACACCTACAACATCTGACACGCCCTGGTGGTCACCCATCAAAGTTCCGCACAGAGAGATTCAAGGATCCATCGCTGCACTGACATCTTCGGGCCACCTCGCATATTTGAATCCGCGATCTCACGATTGAGAGTTGCTATTCTCTACCCACTAAGTCTCAGGCTTTACTCGACGTCTTGGAAGCTTTTAACCAAAATCGTAGCAGATTTTTATGCCCGCTTACTTTTTTATTGCCTTCAATAAAACCAACCAACATAACACAGGATATATTTCTTTTGCTCCTAAATATTATACACAAACACTGCCACCAGATGTATGTTTAAGAGCGGTAATAACACCCTTTATTTGGCCAGGAAAATGTCACCGAGTCTCAAGACACAGCAGGGTCTTGCATTTGGATAAACGGACCGTTCCATAAATGAGTGTTTGGCTTCATGCTGGAGGATACTGGAATACTAGGAGAAATCCCTAACATGTACGAGGGGGGGGGGGGTAGTAACACTCCAAGTTCCGCACAGATGGATTCAATCCATCACTGTGCAGTCATCTCCTGGCCACCTCGTCAGGAGACGACGTATTCCGACGCGTTCAATCTTTGAGCCACGTGCATGGGTTGCCACCCGTCCCGGTTTTCCCAGGATGGTCCTCTTTCTGTCAAGCAGCCGCCCTGAAAAATATCTCAGTCTCCCTGGGACATTCAAAGTCCCGACTGCATTGTCAGTTGCCCACAACAACAACAACAAGAGTGCTCACACCGTGCAGTTCTCGTTCTCTTCCTCTTGTACCGTGACATATTCTTCTTCCCATGAGATGTCACGGGTTCTTTTAGTAATATACAGTACCTCGCATCTTGTCAACACCCCCCCACCATCCCCACCCCGCCCCCGCCCCGAGTAAAAGCGACGGGGTGAGCGCAGCTACTGCGAGGAGGACCTTAACCTCTGGGTAACCCAGAGGTCGCAGCCTCGCCGTGTAATCCGCTGCACGCGCGCCACGTGCACGCGCAGCGCACGCGAGAGCATGCTCGCAGAGGTCGTGCAACGGGCGACATCTTCACTCGTGTCTCTCGCCACATCTTATTTTTTTGGCTCTGTGAACGTCATTGCGGTAGCGGTAACGGGCGGTGAGCGGAGGGGGGGGGGGTGTGTGCAGGACGGTGCCGTTGGGGGGCACCCGTGGCTGGGTTGGGGAGCGAAGAGGTGGAGTTGCAGGGTTTGGTTGGCACGTGCGTGTGGGGAGGTCGTGCCGTTAGCCCTACCACATGTCCCACGTGGTCGTGACAACTTTGAAATGAAGACAACAAACTGGGGAGTCTCAAGACACTGCCAGTCCTGTTTGCATCGTCACCGTCATCGTCAGCCATGATCGATCCACTGCTGGATGAAGGCCTCCACTGTGCTTTGCTACGCCGTCTCCGCGATGCGACAATACGTCGAGCAGCACCTTGCACGTGTTGCTGGACGTCATCTCGTGCGCGTTCCCTCCGTTGAGGCTTTTTGGAAATCATCCAAAGGAGCGTCACGACCCTGGCAGACAGGCTGACGACGGAGGCTAAATAACGAATAGGGATGAAATCTATCTCTAGAAATCTATTCTCGCATGATTGGCCCGATGGCCAAACAGCCTCCCACGAGCCAACACGGCGTGAAAGAGGCCTTTCATCATGCAGCGTTGGATTGACAATCGACTGTAAAGTATGACATACGATTCGCGAGGCACGCTGCTTTGGCAACGCCGGTTGCTATGAACTTGTGCGCGCGTATGAAGCACGCTGTTACTTAAGCTTGCAAATACCCCCCCCACCCACTCCTCCTTGGCTGCAGCCCAGTCTCAGCACAGAAATGTTTTCATGCTCGGCGATGGACGCTTCGGCATAGGCAAGAACTGAAGGCGGCTGCGCCTGCGTAAGCTCTCCGGTGCTGTTAGGCCCGGGGTTTTGCCGCGTGTTGTTCTGCAGTTCCCGAGGAAGCTCCCAGCAGCTGGGAGCGAAACGTCGGACATCGCGCCTAACAACGCGTGGCACAACCAAAAAGCATGTTGGAGAGCCGACTCATTATTGCTGCTGCTGTGTGGGTTTTGTTGTTGTTGTTGTTTCACTTTGTGTGAAATAGCGAACTCATTAACATCGTTGTCAGACCTCTCTTGTCAGCTCTCTCGCTCTGGCCACTGCTCATGTTCATTCACTCCGTCGCTTCTCTTTCAGAGGGCGATCACCTTGATATTGGAGGCCTGGGATCAAGACAACGGCACTTCTGGTAAGGTTCGCACGCGTTTATTCCACCTTATTCCATTTAACTGCAAATTCTCCGGGTAATTAAAGACCACTCGTAGAACCTGAGCCAACATGTGCGCTCGTCCCAATGGTATTGAGCAAGGTCAACTGGATATTCAAATTGCGTAACTCCAAAAAATGGGGATGGGGGGGGGAATGGCGGCGCAGTGGTTAGCGCACTGTGCTATGAACCTAGCTGCCTAAGTTTGATTCTCAGCCACGACTCTCATGAGTGACGAGCGATACCTGAAACCCTTTTTCCCAGGGCGCGTTGGTCGTGGTGTATTGTTAGAACCATACTTCATACTGCTGGCACGGTGAGTGATATCTCAACTGTACCGACCAGCGTGGTGAAGTATAGTCAAACATCTCCCATTGCTGACACGGCATGGGGGAACCATCACGCAGCATTGGATTGTCAAAGGGCTGTAAATGATTATTTATTACTTAATTATGCGTAACATGCTGCCTCTAAAACCGCAGAAACAAGTGGACATATTGTGGCTTTGTCAGAGCATTATTGGGTTATTACTATTTTATGTTCGCCACATGCATGTTTATCAAAATGTGTTTCTTATTTTACGTGATTGTTTTTGTCTAGCGCAGCGTTGTTCTGCATTAACGCCGCTATATAAAATTGTATAGTGATATTTTATTTAATACAATGATTTATCTACTTGTTTTTTGCCTTGTTCATAGAATGTTCCTATTTTATCACTAAAAAAAAATCCCGTGCTACAGTCTCACCGACTTCAGTGCCAACATTCTGTGGCACAATGAACGACGATTGAACACATTTTAGCAGTGGGTTTAAATGCGAGTGAACGCTCTCGACACGCTCTCGACAAGTTGTGTGGCTCAATGTTGAGGCGTTTAATGAAGTGTTCATCGGAGGAAGAAAAAATGAGACGTTTCGGAGAACACCCAGTGAGAATTTCTATTTTACACAGAGAGGCAGTCTATATTCTATTCTTGCCTATGATGGAAATATGTGCTGGAGCTAAATGCCAATGTCGAGGTCTCGTGGCCCCAACGAGAGGGCTTCATGATAGAGTTCGTGTCGTTTTTCTATCTCCCCTCGGCTGAAGGAGCGGCGCAGACTCCGGTGGTTTACTAATACGGTCCATGGTTTGGGTTGCATGAGGCAGTCTCAACCATAGGCAGAGGAGCAGAGAGAAATATCTCGAGACTGGACCTGAACAGGAACAGGGAGCTGAGGGTGCAGATAACCACGGGGGCGGCGGAGGAGAATGAGTGACCTCCCACCGAGTGAAGGATGAATAGGGGCTTCGACAAAACGCCTTGGTTGCTGGAGCGGAAAATGCGTGGAGAGGAGTGGAGTGAGATGAGAGTGGAGAGGTAGGAGCGTGCGTGGAGGAGAGTAGAGTGGAATTAGAGGGCAGAGGTAGGAGAGTGCGCGGAGGGGAGGAGAGTGATATGAGACGGGAGAGGGAGGAGGGCGCATGGAGGGAAGCAGAGTGAGATGAGAGGGGAGAGGTAGGAGAGTGCGCGGAGGGGAGGAGAGTGAGATGAGAGGGGAGAGATAGTCAGGAACGAGTCAATGGGTGGTCTTGAAAGCGGTGAGTCCAATCTTGAAAATGATCCAGGGATCTATTGGGAATCAGCAGAGTGATTAGCATATTGGGGAGATGTGTTCTCATTTACGCGTGTGGGTGTGAGAAGTCAGACTAAGCACGATTTTGCATCGTCTGGTGTTTGGAGACAAGGGATTTGTGGGGGGGGGGGGCATAAAAAAGAGTGTTGCAATAATCCAGTCGGGATGCCATTAAGGCAATGACAAGAGACCATTCAGTGTAGTATATAGTGTTATATTTTGTGTGTGTTATTGTGTGTCCTCTTCTTGTGTTCTGATTTTCCCCACTCTGAGCAGAATCTACTCACTGTATGTGCCCTATGTTGGACATTTTTTGCACCGTACGTAGCGACCAGTGCTATCCACGCTCCTCCTCCTCACACACCACACCAATACTGACTTATCTCCCAATCACTCTTCCCCTCTAAATGCTCCCCTTAATTTACTTTCGAAATGCCCCGTGCATCTCGGACCGCTATCACAAACAATATTTTGCGTTGCAATTGAACGATCAACGGCGCAGATTTTCTACCGGATACGGTGCCACTCGCCCATTGATCAATAAACTCTGCCTCCCTGGCATCTCTGTAGAGAAGGGCCATTACCAGAAAAGTCGCCTTATTATATACTTTATGGGGGGGGGGGGGGTGTATTGAGGCCAGTCTTATTGACAAATGTGTTGGGCGAGTTTGTTTTTTGTGTGTGTGTGAGCGCATGGACAAATCAAAGGAGCCTTTGCCGAACTTCGCGGTTCGCTGGCTGCGAGTGGTGCCACTCACGCCGCAGGAGACGACCTCCGTTGCTTATTTATTTTTGGGGAGGGGGAGGGGGCTTTCCGCGCGCCTCTCCCTCGGGGTGGGGGGGGGTATAAATAGATACCTGCGCGGTGATGTCATCGGTCGACAGCCTCTATATAGTAGGAGTTGGCCTGTTGAGGCATCGCCAGCTTCTTGAATTTCATGAACGGTTGCAACTTTTGGGCCCGGCTGGCCTCCTCGCTGCCTGCACCGGCGCTTTGGCTTGAGGCGCCCGAAACGCACGGCGCGCGTGCCGCAGTTAAATGAATGACTCTGCCCGTTTAAGAGTCGTCTACATTTTGACGTTCATTAGAAGCACATTTAAATGAATGCTCCTGCCGTAGAGGACCGTGATGTGTTTTCGGGTTGCGCCTGCCAGTTTGTCAGCATGACATTATGCCGTTGGAGCAAAAAATGAATAAAATTAAAGGCTTTGTCGAGTGGAAGCCAAAAATAAAAAGGTTTGGGGTTTGATGGGTTGGATAATGTCAATCAAGGAGATATGATTCGATTTTTTTCATGGAATCGATAACGTAAATTAAAATAATGTAATGTATGTATCTTGATTTGAAGCTTTCGTGACTGCAGGAATCCATACTCTTTGGTTCTTTCGGTAAAGTCACGTAGGTAGACAAAATAATAAAAGAACACGACGTTTCGATCGCAACGAAGGAACCAAAGAGTAATGTGTGCATGTTGAACATTTTTCGCACCGTACGTAGCCAACCGCGCTAATCGGAGGTGCGCGGGGAAGGACAACGAAACGCAAAAATCTGTTTAAATAAATGAGTTTTTCAATCTAGATTTAAAAGTGCATAAGCTCCAGTTTCCTGCCGAGCAAGACAGATCGAGCTGAGGTGGCATGGAAGGAGGCCGTGGAACGAGATGTGAGGACAATGGACATCCAAGTTTCAGGTTTATTTTGTTTAATCGGATGGTGAGAACTCAAGAGAACTAGGGTGAGTCATTTTGCAAGAGCGATCTTGGGGCATCAGTCTGCCAGGAGGGGGTGGGGGGGGGAGTGTTGGTTAGTGCATAATCCCAATTTTAATAATTTGCGGTGTGATTTGCGAATTTGGCAAAAGCGGGCCCTGACGCCGGCAGAGACGATGGCCCACTCTTGGGTGATGCCGTCAGGGGGGACCTTAGACGTCCCTCGTGAAGCAGACGGCGCGTGGCATTGCGGTGAATGCGCCCGCAGCAGTCATCGTGTGACGGGAAAAAGAGGCGCAGAGTAGGAGCCACCATAAACGGAGAAATACAATCTGAGCAGTCGACCCCTATGCAATAGTGAGACCTCTGGCTTTGAAGAAACAAGAAGACCACACGTATTGGCGTGTGTTTGTGGCCATGGCTTTTTGAACAGTAACACGCCAATGCCATCGGGGAGGTGGGGGGGGGGCAGACGTCTAGCAGGGTTAAGCCCTGTTAGTACTTGGATGGGTGATGGCCAGCGCCTGCCAGGTGTTGTAGGCGTGGAGGCCGTGACCTGACCAGAGATGTCAGTGCTGGGTGTCACCCCGTGGACGGGAGGTATGCATGGGTTTACTTGAGGTTTCTCGCAATATCGGTGGTGGAAGCGCATCCACTAGGGGAAGCTCAAGAAAGCCCCCCTGGAGGATATTTGGCCTACTCTTTCACGCTAGCCAGACGTCTTAGAAGAGGTGGGTGTACCCACACTTTACCCCACTGCACGTGACCTGTCGATCGACTAACTGTGGTGGGACCCATTTACACCTCTGGGTGGACAGGGGCGGTGAGGAGAGATTTTATTAAACTTGCACCATCGTTTCAACTACCGTGCCGGGTGATGGAATCTAACCGGCAAACCTCTGCATTGCAAGTCCAGTGTGCGAGTCATAAAAACAAAATGTTGGAAAATAGATGGTTAAAATAATATCAAGCGGTGGGAAGGCTGGGATCTGTGCTTCAGCCCCATGGAGAACCGGACATGTTGACCCTAAAGAGGCTCTATGCACGGCGATAGTCTTTGCCTCTCAACTGCACCTGGCAACGTTGGGGATTATTTGGTAAGAAAGCCTGCAGTGAATTACACCATTACGTCCGAACAGATCCTGCGTGCTGATTTCGTGCACAGAATAGGCGAGCGAGCGGCCTTGCTTGGTAGAAACCAGCTTCCCAAACAATCCAACGCATGTGACAAGAAGCGCGGCGTGGTAAGCGTACCATTACTGCGGCTCCCTGCTGACTCTTCGATCAAGTTAGTGCGCTCAGATCAAAGCCGAGCAATTTCTTTCAGGAAATCTCCAAGGTACCATGTTGGTTTTCTGATGGCAATAATTGCTTCTGGCCGTAACACTTTTCATCTGGTTTATGTCTGCCAAGGCAAAGCGTAATGTCAAAGTCTTGCCTCGCCTGACTACAGTACAGCACTCGTGTGTGGTGTGTGTGTCTGTTTGTGGGGAACGGTGGTGTCGCGGTTAGCGTGCTGCGCTACGAATCCGCCACCCTGAGTTCGATTCCCGCTCATGGCCAACACCGGTGACGATTATCTGAACCGGTTCTGGGGCATTCCCTAGGTCGACTCAGCCTCAAATGAGTACTTAGTGCGGTGTGTAAAAACATCACCACGGGGAAGACAAAGGCGGTCGGGCGTGGTGCTGGCCGCCCACCGCCTCGCGTGCGGGCCTTCATAGGTGCTCGCTAACATCACTTTTCCCAACAGTCTGTTCAGGCTCTTACGGGGCGGAATCTTCGTCTTCGCTCTCACAATACCCCGAGTCATTTAACTGTTCCAGCGTAAACAATCATCACGACAATCCCGGCAAGTCGGCGCTTGCGTTCCCCCGCGGCTCCGATGCCTTTCGCACTCTCATTAACTTGCAGATTTACGTTTTTTTTGTCTTCGTCCGTGAGCAAGGCGAGCTTTGGGTTGTCCGTCTCGGGCCGCCGCGAAGGTCTGTCACACACGCAGCTGGCGCCCACGGTGGCGCAGCGCTGCGCCGTTTTCACGGCGGTTATATTTATTGCCGCTCTTTTTGTATTCGACTGGGAACTTTTTTCTTTACACCCGTGGCTGTGCACCACCACGGAAGAAGGGGAGCAGCGTCAAAGACGTGACGCATTGGGAGGAGAAGAAGAATCAGGAAAGGGAAGGGCGGGGGGGCGGGGGGGGGGAAGGTAGAAGGGGAAATGAGAGGAAAATGATGGAAAAGGAGTGGAGGAATGGGATTTAAGGGGTCCGGAGAGATGAGGATCGAGAGGAAGAGGCTACGTGAGAGGGCCTCAGTGCTGCTGCGCAGGGAAGCGGCGTCTGTTTTCACAGTGGGCGGCAGCAGAGAGAGGGGAGGGGTTCAGAGTAGGAGTCTTCACACATAAGTCACGTGATTTACAGGAGGCTCGAGCCGATTTAGAGAAAGGCGTCTGTGTAGTATAACCATTTCAAGCCGGGCATGTTTAAAGCCAGAATTCGGGGTTCACTGGAAATTAAGCAAAACCAACTCCCGTCTCGAGAACCCGTTCACACGCGAAATACTATATTCTCTGGATTGCTAGGACCTCCATAAAGTAAGACGCGCACCCCAAAGTTGTGTCTGGTGTCAATAAAGTTATACAAATATGGCCACATACAAGCACGCATATACCGGATTGTCAGACAAACCCATAACTTCTACCTCAAATTACAGTGGGAGAAAGTGCGTCTTATGCATCAGAATGCTGCCTGCTAAGGGATAAAGGGGCCTGCAGTCGTGAAATTTGAAGTCATTAAACTTGTATTAAATAGTTACCGCATTGCTAGCAGCTCCTTGGGGACAAGGCTTGGTGCTGTTCATGTGGCACCAAACAGCAGCCAGTGAACATCTCGTTGTGCCTCTTGCAAAATCGAACAATCATTTAAGCATGCATTAACATTCAGTGTTTTTTGGTGTCTGTTTTCCCAATGTTATTCCAGCTGTGCCTTTGGCGTCGTGGCACGAGAGATGAAGTCTACATTTGGAACCGTTGCGGAGCAGTGCATCAATTGCACGTTAGAGAATGGCACGCTGAAACAGACATCATGGAACTACATTGGAAATTAAAATGTTCATTGCGTGCCAAACCAATCTAAGACATTTTAATTCTGAGAGATGGAAGTGAACCAATTTGTGATGAGTCGTTTTGTTTTTCAGTCTTCAGTGATAGGACCTCGACCATCAACGTGCTCATCTTGATTTGAGACCCTCGTTTGATCATGGTCAGTTGAATCACCCAGCCAGCTCAATGAATTAAAAAACTTTGTTTAGAAAGTGCTTCTTTAAAAAAAATTATGAAAAAGCTCGTGGTTAAGGTAATATATCGAAAATCAAAGAATAGCAGCAGAAGAAATATCTGGCAAAGCGTGGCTCCCTTTAAAAATTCTAAACCATATTCATGTTTGCATAATAAAAACAATAAGCAACCAAGTTAAAATTTAATAATATTATTTGGAATCTGATCAGTGCAAGATGGGGAGCATAGTTTTAAAATGAAGAATATTTATTTATTTATGTATTTGAATGTCTGAGCCCTCCAAGAATTCATCATAAGAGCCTCTGGATTAGAGTACCCATCGCTTGGCCTGGGGTTTTTGGTTTCTATTTAACTGGTTGCCTTAAGCAAAGTATACTTTGTTATAAACTTCTCTGGGTTATGAGGGAATTGAATTGCATAAAATAGCAACATTTTCTGACTGTATTTTTAATACATTATTCAGGCCAATTTAGAATAAAGTAAAGAATAGTTTTAGTTTGTTAAACGGCAAATGACTTCCACATAAGCCACCCAGGCTTGCGTTTGTTAAAACCATTGGTTTTGATTTCATGACGCCCCTTTTCTTTAAAATGTTCTGCCAAAAAGTTGATTCTGTGGGTTTTATTGTTTTCTGTAAGATGGTCGCACAGTGGGGGCTTGGCCATCTGCGCAAATGAATTATCGCTTAAGAACGAGATCTCCATTTCAAGTCAGATTTATTTTTTTGCATTCACAAGGATGGCTGAGTCCAGCAGTTAGTGCACTGGCCTATGAACCTGGTTACCCGAGTTCAGTTCTCACTCATGGCTAACGTCAGTTAGAAACATTTGACCCATTCCAGGCCCTCTTCTAGGTCAACTTAGCCTTTAATGAGTACCCTAACAATGATCATTTCTGTCTTGCCAATTCTCTGCATCTAGCAATGTTAAATGATGATTCCGCCTGTTGGCTGATCATACACCGCTTCACTGCCATCAAGTGCAGTAAACGTCGTCACTGGGGAAACAAAAGTGGCAGGGTTCAATCCCGACCCTCACGCCTGCTGTATAGTTGGAGTTTGCGTGTTCTCCACGTGGTCGTGTGGATTTTTCTCCGGGTCCTGTGGTTTTTCCCTCGACACTAAGAATCAACACGCGTTGAGAGTATTTGGCTGCTACAAATTTCTACGTAATAAGCCACTTCGTTGACCTATCATTTTGTAGCCAGGTCGCTTCTCTCAGCGGGCCTTACCTGCTAAAATAAAACAAAATGGTTTAGTATCGGCCTTCATCGGCGCCCGCCAACAGCGCTTGCCCCGACAGTCTGCTGAGGCTATAACGCGGGGGGGGGGGGGGTTGGGTGGTGGCTTGGTGAATCTTTGTTCAGTGGTTTGTTGAATCCTTTTTGGGTGGCTTTGTGAATCTTTGTCTGTCCGCGTGTGCGTGCAGGAGGTCAGCTGATCGCGCGTGCCACCTACTCGGGGCTGCTGCTGCCCACAGAGCGCTGGCACACGGAGGTGCACTCGGGTCCACGCGCACAGCTTGAGTACCGCGTACGCGCCCTCTGCGACCCGCACTACTACAGCGCCAACTGCACGCGCCTCTGCAAGCCCCGCAACGACTACTTCGGCCACTACTCGTGCGACGGGCTCGGCGGGAAGGTGTGCATCGAGGGCTGGGCTGGACCCGACTGCAAGATAGGTAAGACGGGATGGCAGGTGTGTGTGTGTGTGTGTTGAGGAGTGGGGGTGGGGGAATGAATGCCCGAGGTGGGCGACCCTGTACCACTGTGGTTATCGACCCTTTTTTGGTAATAAGTTCAACTGTTTTGTTTTACTAGGTAAAGTCAGCTGAGCTATTTGCTGCATTTATTTTTCAGAGGCGACCTGGCCACACGTTATTGTTCACCGAAGTGGCTTACATCATCATATTGAGGGATTTAGAGTAGCAGCCAAATAATCTGAAGGCACGTTTATGAATGTGGGCGGCAAAAACCAGAGGACCCCGGATAACAATCCATGCGGCCACGGGGTAATAACACGCGAACTCCAAATATACTGTACAGGCATCAATCGTCAGGACCCAGAGTCAAACCCATGACTGCCTGCGTACAAGGCGAGGGAGATAACATCTCCCATGGTAACCCATGGATACCAACAGCTCCTCCCGATCTAAACTACTGGTTCTTCAGTGTCTTGAGATGTCATTGTATTTAGATGGAATATACAGGGTGCTTAAAAAAATGTTAACACTTAAATGGGGCTATCGTTTTTAATGGAAAAATAATGCATAATACACTGTAACATGATAACAAATGTATGTTAATTGCTTCAAAAAGTCAAAGAGTCTCAATTTGTTGTTATTATTATTATGACGATGAGAGGATGTCGCGTCTCATGGTACCTCACCTCCTCGGTGCTGAGGAGTACTTGGTGGGACTTCTGGCTTCAATGTCAAGTTCAGGCGTCATCGGTTAGAATTCGTGACATCTGAATTACTTTAAGTAAGAAATGAATAGAAAATAATGTGAAAGAATGTTTTTGATTAAAAAAAACAACAACGTATGAACCGTTATTTTCATTGCACCATTTAACCATTCGTAATGCCTATAACATATTAGAAACAGTCCTCCTCGTGCTATAATCTCATAGGTCAAGAGCGCTAAGTTGTATAGTGCAGTACTGTCCGTGAACATTTTCTTTACCGGAATTGACACAAATCTATTTTTTTATATATATAGAAATGTAGAAAAAATATATACCCTCTTACCTTAGTCTTCTTCCTTCCTCTATTTAAGTGGATTAGCCTTTTCAAACAGGCACAGCAGCAACCCCCTCACTGACTTTATCGGACTTTGTGCAGCAGAGAAACGTTGGCGTCCAGATGCGTGTTGGTAAATGAGTCGTAAGTCGATCGACGGTTGCCCTTGTATGGACGTCGTAATTCGTGTCGCAAATCCGACCGTCGGAAACCAGCCGTAACGTTTCCCAAACTTTGAATCAACAAACATTGTTTCAGGGGTGGAAAAAAAAACTTTTTTTTCAGATCCGAATTGAGGTTTAAGGTTCAAGCCTTAATAAACCTTAATAAACCTATTAAATTTTGATTTAAGCTTTCGTGACTGCAGGGATTATATTCTTGGTTCTTTCGGGTAAAGTCACGTAGAAGGGAAACAATATTATTGTCACGTAGAAGGGAAACAATAATATTGTTTCCCTTCTACGTGACTTTACCGAAAGAACCAATAATATGAAACCTAACAAACCTCATGGTTTTATTCGCAATATTCCCGGATCAGTACTAGTCCTCCTCCGACGAGTCCATGCCGTCGCCCTTGGACATATAACTGCATTCGGCGAACGCCCGCATAGTTGCTCTTGAGGTAGACCAACTTCTCCACCGAACTGGGCGCCAAGCTGTTCCTGAGCTTGCTGTGTATGAAGCCCATAGTTGAGAAGTTGCGCGAGGAAGCTACAGAGGATGTCGCCATCATGAACAGCTTGACGGCAATCTTCTGAAGATCGGGCCAGGCCACGCCGTCAGACTGCCAACACTGCAAAGGTGTCTTACGTCCCTTAAGCAGCATAATGAATCTAAAGCTGCCGGCATCCTTCTCCTACTGCGCCGAAATGACGTACTCGGTGAGCTGCATAAAGAGCGCCTCTCACCTATCATCATCAACCGCCGTCTCATCGCAGATCGGTGTCTCCAGTAAGATGTTCTCCAGCTCTTTTCCATTAGCCGGGCTCAAGCCCTCTCCAATGAAGCAAGGATCTAACAGATACGCCAGTCTATGGGCCTTTCCATACATGAACTGAAAGCGACTTGCTGCCAACTTGATCAGGTAGTTGATCTCGTCAGTGCTCGCATGACCGTTCTTCGTGCACCTGGCAAACTCAGCAGGTGAGGGCGTGAAATCCGGCAAGACTCAGAGACTGGTACGGAATCGGATTGATATTTTTAAATCAATGTGTCGATCGGTGTGAGGAATGGCAAGGGACTTCTGCAACGGAAAGACGAAGTCATCACTAATAATGATGGTCTTGATTCGCATTGCGCTGGGATATCTGAGCTGCCGTCCCCTTGATGAAGTCGTGAGCTGTGACAATGGAATGCGGAATCCTCTCCAACGACAACAGCATCTCACAACAGCCTTTGATCATTCCCCAACGTGTAGGAGCCGGACGGACCACCGCTCGAACGCCAGCAATCTTCTGTTCAGACTGCAGCTGTACCTTGAGAACATGACTATTGTGAACAATTTTGACCTTGTCCTTGCACCCCAAGATGAACTCAAGCAGGTACTCGAACGGATAGTCGATCGGGTATGTGTGTTCTGATTGGCCGGCTTTCATCGTCTCTTCATGGCAGAGAATATGTATTAGACAAGCAAATGCAGATCACGCGACATACAGCCTTGGAAATAGGAGGAATGGTGAGCCTTCGAGAGCGGTTCCCACGCATTTCTTGTTGGTGGATGTGTTGTCGGTGACCGAGCCAGCGAAAGTAACCTTCGGATGGGACGCCATCTCACGTTGAAGATCCGAGGCGATCCAGTCAGCATTGTGGCCCTGCTCTCTAGTGGACACCGACTCGAGAAACAACGTTGTGGACGGTCGATGTGACCATGTAGTTCACGTTAGGATCATTCTTGATGTTGAACCACGCATGGGATGTCAGGCAAACGGTCTTATTGTCCAGGACAGTGTCAACCTTCTTCTTTCATGTCGATTGTACGCCCTGTCGAGCAATGGTCCGGCCAGCCTCTTCCTGTTCGGCAGCACTGCATCTGGGCGAAGGGCCTTCACAGCGATCACCAGGTTCTCCTCCTCGACCCGCTGGAACGACGTGCCCTAGACAAAGTAATGCAATGCTATGACCTGCTCGAACTTCTCCTTCGTTTCGCTCATCGAGCTTGGGTATTAGGTGATGATCTCTGATAAATTCTTGCTTCATCGACGAAGCATTCGATGTAGATGGAGTTGAGCTACCGCTTGCCTTCGATGGCTTCGCCCGCTTCTTGTTCAGCGCGTACCACTTAGGATGATCTATCTATCTCGGTACCATTCATTTCCCTCCGAAAAGCGGCGCATGCATTCAGGTGCCTCATCGCCCGCTCACCCTTCTTGTGATGGTTGAGTCTGGTTGCAACAATGTTTGCAGACGGCACTCTTTCAACTTGTGGAGTTCCGGATCATCGGTGAAGTAGCGCCAAAACTGGCCCATCAAGCATCCACTGACCTTCCCTGCGTCGGCCACTCCATTCTTCTCCATCACAATTACGACATCACTATCAGATTCTTCGGAATCGAGTAAATCCTCATCCAGGTCCTGATCCATGATCCCTGCTCGCGGTGGAAATTGGGTTCGTTTGATGACACTAGTAACTCAGGTAATGCCAAGATTCGGCCTTCCGCGGTCCGTCACTTCAGCAGACTTCCTGCCAAAAAATAAAATGGCGTCTTTTTAAAATAAACCTCAAATCCTCACCATAACTGGCCCTTCGGGATATTGAGGTTTTTTTAGTTTAACCTTACAAACCTAATTGTTTTTAAAACTAGCCTTGCCACCCATGATTTGTTTTATGTTTTCTTTTTACCGGCATTTTAACAATGCGTAAAGTCAATACTAAATTGCGCACGGGTGTATCGCTAATGTTACACGCTAGAAACAATGGCTTTTAAAAAGTAAAAGAATCTGGACAGATAAACAGAGTAACAAACCCACACTCGCTCCATGATAGTAAAGCGATAATAGATTTTTTGTTGCTTCTCCAGACCATGATTTTTATGCCAACGGCTTTGGGGAGGCCTTTCATCCAGCAGCGGATTGATCATGGCTGATGATGATTATTTTTTTAAATTACTTGAATATATTCGCATAATGTAATACATCTATGTTTTTTTAATACTCGAAACTGCGTTGGCAGTGGTGTATTATCGCAAAGAGCAAAAACTAAACACTCGGCAATAACACTGCCCGAAAATAGTCGACGTTTTGAGCAAAGGCCCTTCATGTGTGCTGCAGTACCCGAAACGTTGCTTAATATCTTTTTTCTTTTAGGGCAAATGTTGACATCCATTCATTCGTGACATTTGTCATGCGCACATATTGAATTTAAAAGGATATTCAACATTAATTGTAAGAAACACAACTTTCAATAATTATTTTCTGTCTTGCCATATCTCTCCATCCATCCGTCTATAATTATTAATGATTTAGTATGCATCGCCGCGAGAGGGTGACGCCGTCTCCTGGCTGATCAGACAGCGCTTCACTGCCATCATCGATTCCCCCACTCTTAGCAGAGTGCATTACCTTCCCCTCGGTGGTCTGGCTTCTCGTATTTACCAGCAGCCGTCGCTTGTGGTGAATTCTGACCTGGTCCTCGTGTCACCAGACACCTGTGAATGAGCCAGATCGACTAAGATTCGATATTGGGGGGGGTGGAGGGGGTGAGGTGGCCGGTTAAAATCCTCGAGAAGGAATGGACTTTTTTTTGAAACAAATGATCTGCAATGTTAACGCCAATGCGTTGAACTGATGATTGATGGCGTGCGGCTAATGACTCTTCTTCCTCTGTGCCTCCTCCTCTCTCTGTGTCGTGCAGCGATATGCCGGCAGGGATGCAGCGCCCAGCACGGCGCCTGTGAAGTGCCCGGGGAGTGCAAGTAGGTAGCTTAAAATTTATCTCGGATTTTTATTTTAGGTTGTGTGTAATAATAATAATACTTTTTAAAACCCACTCGCCAATACAGACAGTGCTTATCGCATCCTGAGCTTATCGCCGTTCTCCTCGTTTTTATATGCCAAATTAATCGGCTCACGGTTGCAATGCGATGACATTTTTGTGTTAACGTTCGCATTCCAATAGTCGACTGCATTTTCGCGATGCTCTACGGACACAGTGGGGCACTTGTACATCATGAAGGAGAGAGGAGGCGTGCCAATGCAGCAGCAACACAGTCATGTACACAGCCTCTTGATGCGATCACATCGTACACACGTATATACTTGCATGTTTGAGAAGGAACAGGCATTCATGGGCGCACAATGAGGACGGAGAGAATCTTGTGCCTGGATTTCAACAGGGGCAGGGAGTAGACAGCACAGATGTCTGGGGGTAAGGGAGTTGTAGACGACGGGATGCAAGATGAGGTGGTAAGAGTGACCTCTCCCAGTGAGCAAAAGGCCTACCAGGGATTTTGAGCGAAGGTTTGGCTGAGCGAGGGGCCCACGCACTGTGGCTCTGGGAAAATAAAGACGGCTTCTCACCGTGACCAGCAGGAAACGTTTAGTTTAGTCATAACTAACATTTACAACTTAGAGATTTTAGCTGTGACACACACGCATAATGATTTCCTCTTTGCCCCATAATGTTACGGAGTCTTTTAACCTCTGATTCAAAGCTCATCGCGCCCGTTTGGAAACGTCCACGCTCCTGCAATTCCCAATCGGCTACGAAGCGGCAGCCGAAACTCCTATGCAGACTGGCTGGTCTTGCATTAATAAAAAAGGGCTTGAATCATCGGTGTGTGAAAACATATTTGCCTTATGTAGTTATTTATAACAATACAAATTTTAGGAATACACACAACAAGTCTTGCTGAGTCTCAACACTTTTTTTGATGGGGGGGTATTCCATTCGGACGTCGAGTTGGTTTGTGTTTGGCGCATGCTGCAGGCCTTAGTGACATTGGAATGGACACCAATTTGTCCACGGGTGCCCAAAAAAAAACAGAAGACAAAAATGTAGCTTTAACTGGGAGCTAAACAGCGAACTCTCCGATTGCGAGTCACCGGTCAACCGCTAGCTCAAGTCATGGCGTTAATGCAGCTGGCTCTCACGAGAAAATATTTCACCACATCCACCATACCTCTCGCTATGGCTGTTGCTACAAGTTACGTGTCACCTACCCCCAGTCTACCGGTGACTCAGAAATATTCAATGAGAACTGAAGCCCTGGCTCCAGCTGTACGTGATGTCAATCCCACCGTGACAGCCGCCCTGCCACCTCACTGCGGCTACCAGCTCTCCCACCCCCCACCCCCGCTCACTACGAGTGGTTTGCGACGCTACGCTACGCGGCCACAAACTATTCAGGCCAGAGACTCTGACGGACAGCAGCTCCGAGGGCTCTGAAGGCCTCCCTGTCTCCGAGGTTTGCTTTCTATCGAAGGAATGCCTGCCATGGTGGTGGTGGCGGTTGGGACATCCTCCACTCTCCTCTCCTCCTCCACCACCCTCCTCACCAGCCCAGTCCAGCTTGCACCCCCCACCATCATCAATGATACCCCCAGCACCGCTGCACCACCGCCACCACCACCGCCGCCGCCCGCCACCCACCCATCACCTCCAACTCCATCTCAATGTCCTTTCTGACTCCACATAGGTCAGGCCCTCTGGGGAGGAGGGGGGTGGGGGATGGAGAGTTGGGGGGGGGCACTGTGGAATGTGCGTTTGTGCCCATGCAGGGCATTCTCACAGTCGCTGTGCAGAGCCAGGAGACCCCATGGGCAGTGCCCCTCTCTCTTGCCCCGCGCCATCTGTCACAGACCCCCACGGTGCACCTGACAATAACGTTGATTTTTTATAATTAATAACAATAATTATCTTTATTCGGAAATGTCTGCACATTCCCAAATCACAATGGGCGCTCTGTGATACGACAGCATCGGACATGTGACCAAATAACTGATCAGCTCTCAATCTGTGATCAGCCATATAGGGAAGGAAATAGGCATTGCATGTCCAAAATGTAATTGTTTTGCAGTGCCACATTCTCGAAAGATATCGGGAGCTAAGCAAGGTCGAACCTGGATAGTGTTTGGATGAGCAGCCGAAGACCGTGGTTAATGCATACTTACACTTGTAAGATGCGTGTCCTGCGTAGGGCATCCACAGAGGTGGCATCCGTTAATGGAGTATCATTCGACAGCAGTTTCAGTTAGGTCCGATATAAAATTTGATTGAGATAAATGAGTGGTAACTCTTTTTTTGGCACTCCACCACCGCCCCTCCCATAAAGGTGCCCTGGCTTCGTTGGGAAGTTGGCGATTGTGCTCTGGGATGTGTAGTTAGACTTCATGGACTCCATATCTTTGTTGTTGATTACTTTGTTGTTGTTATTTGTGCTCTTTGTTTCAGTGTAATTTCTTGTTTATTCATTTTAAATTTTTGCTTGGTAGTAGAAGGGGTTTTCGTTCGCTTGGTAGTAGTGGCTGTATATAGGATGATTTGGTCATTATATATAATTAATGTACAGCGTTATGGGATGAGAGCATGAATGACGCTATATAAAAGTAAAGTATTTTTTTTTAAACACGCACACACACGTGGAAGGTTTTCTCCAGCACCTCTCCGCTGTCATTGTTTCAAATTACTCTGTAAACGTGCTGCTGAACAGCGCTTAAGATATATTTGCTTAAGATATCGTAATTATTTAAAGGAATATCCTGCCAGCATTTCAACCGTACAGTTCAAAATGCCGTCGAATTTCGATTCTTCAATAACGGATGATATGTTTATATACCCCTTGTACGTTGAATCACGTAGATACAATAATCAGGATCATTTAAAGATGAAATTACAGATGATGATGATGACAGTATCAAACCAAAACTTAGACTCATTTGTAATTGTCTGGATAATACATGCGTGTTTTTTTTCTTGTTTAATGAAACAATACCTTGAGAGATGTTTGAAAAATAATAAAAGGCAATAAAACAGGAAATGTTAGGATGTTCAAACACCAAATAGAAACCTCCTTTTGCAAGGAATCAAGTAGCTGCATTAACCACACGTACCTGTGGTGAACATGCAAACAAAACATGCTCTGATAATGCATGCATTGTGTGTTTTTGTAACTGATTGGTCTACATCAGATGGCACACTGTAAACACAAACCACACCATTCCACACACGTTTACTCTTCTCTTATTTCTGACCCATCCCTACTATCCATCTGTGAAAAAGAGCTTCATAGCTCATCGGATTGCTCCAGTATATTTTAAATATTCTGATTCTGACGGGAACTGAGCGACTTACACTCATTAAACAAACATATATGCTTTTCGTAATACTGCATCGGCGGTGGTGGACAAAGTACATTCAACGAAATCTCAACACTTTCCGTCAATAACACTGCTCCCAAAAATTATGCACGCGTGTACATTCTAAATAGACGACGTTTCGAGCCGTGCCAGCGCCAGTGACGAACTGTGTTGAGCTTTCATAATGGAGGTTTTGTTTTTATTTTGGTCGCGAAAGCCGCCGACGTGTTCAACTCATTGAGGTGACTTTGTGAAAGCGAAGGGAGGCGGGGGGGGACTGTGGGAAGTGAATTGGGGGGCGGTGAAGGGGGGGAGGTGGACGGGGGGGGCGGTGAAGGGGGGGGAGGTGGACGGGGGGGGCGGTGAAGGGGGGGGGGGAGTTGAACGGGGTGGGGGGCGGTGGAGGGGGAGAGGCGGTGGAGGGGGTGGACGGGGGGGCGGTAGGGGGGGGTGGAGAGGGGAGGTGGTCGGGGGGGGGCGGTAGAGGTGGGGGGGGGAGGTGGTCGGGGGGGCTGTGGAAGGGGGGCGGTGGAGGGGGTGGACGGGGGGGGTGGTGGAGGGGGGGGCGATGGAAGGGGGGCGGTGGAGGGGGTGGACGGGAGGGGGGTAGAGGGGGAGGGGGGGAGTGGGGGGGGGGGGTACAGTGCATTTTCTCATGCCTTTTGTCACTGAAACCAGACATCTGTTACCCTCGCCTCTGTCCCCGGGCCCGTGACTCGCGGGGCGAGCGCTCCCCGATTCTCACACACGCCGCATAAAGTCGCCTTTGTTCCGTCGCACCCTCCCGCTTTGTCGCGGCACAATACGGTTCGGCTCGGGTGCCACGGCTTTCTCATTGAGCTATTAGGCCAGCGGTTTTTCAATCACTCCACCACCTACCCCCGCCCCCCCCCCCTCGTTATTTTTCATTTATTCTTTGCCCCCCCTCCATCACCAACCCCCACCAAGCTGAATCCCCAAATTCCTTATGATTGCCTGGATCCCCTATATCCCTTCCCATTCTCATCCCACCCCACCCACCCTCCCACCCCTACACCACCGCTTTCACATCCAACCGCGCTTGCCAACCCCAACGATTTAAACGGTGGGCAATTTGGTAACAAGTTGAAAAAAAAAACATATTACAACGTACTGATTTTTTTGTGTGCCAATAATGGGAAGGAAAACAACCATTTACAAGTTTTATAGAGCTGTTTAGTAATTTTTTTCAAAATTGACTTAACATCTACAGCCTAACGGTTAAACCGATAGGGTTGGCAAGTATGCACCCCTTGACATGCAATACGTGTACTGCGATCAACGGGTACACCACCGGGAGCAGGCCGCCTGTCAAACGCGGGTTCTCCCACCTCTTCCAACATGTGGAGGAGAAGGCCAAACACCCTCTGAGCGCGGCTCACTCCAAAGTGCCCTCTCGAGGCAGGGCCCTTCTGCCAGCAGCGGCGTGAGCATGAAATTGCAGGGCTGCGCTTTTACCCTTCATTCAAGATCGCAGTGCCCATGGGCAGTGTAGGGGAGGCGTTGTCGTTGAGTAAATATTACAAACTGCTGCCCGCCTCCCCTGGTCCACATTAAAAACCCTTTGCCCACGCAGCCCGGCGGGCCTCGTGTTTACAAATCTCGGCCGTAAATTAGATCGCGTGTCTTGGCACGCGCGACGCCGTTGCGCGAACGAGTCTCAAGGGGGACCCACACCAGACACGATCGAGCCGCGCGCTCGATTGCAAACGCGAATTAGCCCAACGTGATTGCGGCCGGGTCCCTCTCTCCCCCCTCTCTCTATATATAATGGTACAAAAGAAAATTAGACGTTCAGAGTAAAAAGCGACTACATGGGACCTTTTTTGCCCAGTATCAAAGTTTTGAAAAAAATGAGAATATGTTTTACCCTTCCTGGCAATAAAAGAGGAGGTGTTAAGATGTTCGAACACCAAATAGATACACCTATTGCGATTAATCATGCCTGCATTAATAACACTTACTTGTGGTGAACATGCAAACAAAACATGCTCCGATAATATATGCGTTGTCTTTGAAACTGATTGGTCTAAACCAGAGACAGCCTTCTTTAGGGCCTCGTCTCACCAGTGTCAAGCCAGAGAACGCCAAAAGGCGAACAGTTTTATTGCCAGAAAGGGTGAAACCTATTCTTAGTTTTTTCATAGAAAGCTACTGTTGTGCTTGTTTGGCTTTAACCAAACGAAGAGGGCCGCGTGCCCCCCCCCCCCCCCCCCCCCCCCCCCCCCCCCCGTGTATGCTCTTCTGCCACTTGCCGCCACAAATTGTTACCGCCCAGGAAATGTCGATGACCTACGGATAGATACGTAGGTCTACTTTTTTTGGGCAAAAGCGGGAGAACGTCGATAATGGAGATGGGGCGATTGAGATCAGATCGTTGAGCAGGTGCCAGTTGGATCGCTGCATCGCAGGACCGTCAATGAGGGATGGCCTTCATCCAGCAGTGGATAGATGATGTCAGATGATGACGGCGATGATGATGATGATGACATATCGTTTATTTAAATGCAAGTGAGGACTCGTTGAGGCTTAAATACTTCTTTTTCAAGGGTTCACATAAGTAATAAATGTCAAATGCCACAGTTCAATAAACAAACATCACGCATTGCCCGATATAACAAGCAAAACAAAAATATTAACACACAGCAGTTGATGATAATAATGTAACGCCCCCCCCCCCCCACCACCACCACACCGCGTCGGCCACATTGAGTTGTTTGACCAATACATCACGACGCCGGTAAGCGTGGTAAGTTTGTGAAGTGTGGCGGGTGGGCAGGGCTCTGGCTGGGTGGGTTGGGTACGGGGGGGGTGGCGGCGGCGGCGGCGACCGGGAATCTAACCCAGGTCTCCATCAGCTTCAAAGCGCACGCAAATAAACCTCCCGGCAAAGTCCGTGCCCAAGACGCAGCGCCTCTTGAATGTGACACCGCTTTGAACGAAGGCAAAAAAAAAGCATTTCGCGAGCGGGGTTCCCTTCTGATGAGTATAAACAACAAAAAACACACAGAACGCTTTGGCTGGCCACATCCTGGAAAATTCGTTCCGGTTATAATTCATGTTTAATGTGGCTCTTTCAAAGCTGAGCTCATTACGGTAAATATCAATCAAGTAATTGCCGTGCTAATCTGCGTCATCGCGCTCCATGCAAGTCAAGGCGTTCTAATTTCGCGTGCATTTGCAGTTTCCTTGCCAGCTCGTCGCTTGTCTCCCTCGGAGGGGGTAGCGGGTTTAATGTGTTTTTGTTGTTGTTGTGTAAGCGTTCGTGATCGCAGCGTTATGATTTCTGAGAAATGTGCTCATTGTACCGTGGGATCCATGTATAGATACCCCACTAGAATGTATACAGTACAGTATCGGGAATAATAACCGTGTGGAAAGCAACAGTGATTTTTTTCGCAGCATCTTCACAATGTCACAATTGTGTTGCCTGGAAACAGGAGTGGTCCTGTGAATAATTGCGCGACCATTGAACGCCGCTCTTCTCTGTGAGATAGGCAGCCATCGCTTTCGCAATGTCCAGGCACCTTTTGAGAAGGAAGTCGGAGGGTCATTAGAACGTTGTGGGGTATCTATAAACGGATCACCCTTATAGGTACATATTTTAATAGTGTCTATAACACTGCTTACTCAGCTCAACGTGTATTGTTCTTGCTTAATTATTGTATTTGTGTATTACCGAATGGGGTGACCGGTGCGTGGCCCCAACTGCGATGTCAGTGGTTCTCAACCTTTCTTGGCAACTGTTCCGCTTGTTGAATTTTTGTTTCAATCGAGTACCCCCTCGCCTGGCCCAACGTTTATAAATCACCCCGCGTACTCCCCGGGGCATTGCCACGTCACCCCCAGAGGTCCGCGCGCGTCCCGGCTGAGAACCACTGAGCTACATAACCCAGTCCCCCCCCCCGTGCTGTCGATGTTCTTCCCTGCTGTAGGTGCCAGTACGGCTGGCAGGGCTCGCTGTGCGACCACTGCGTGCCCCACCCGGGCTGCGTGCACGGCAGCTGCTCGAAGCCCTGGGAGTGCCACTGCCAGACCAATTGGGGAGGCCTCCTCTGTGACAAAGGTAAAGTGGTTTGGCGCCACAAACCCACATTTTTCAGGATCATAATGTTTTGTTTATACCGAAGGAATCCGATGAGCTGCAGAGCTCTTTTTCAGTGATGTCCACGTAGCATGGGCGGCTAGCGTGAATGTAGCGGTGACGTGGCCCAGCGGTAGCAGAGGTTCACGGTTCAAATCCAGCGGCCGACCTGGTTATTGCTTTGGGTGTAATAACTGTTATGATATCACGTGTCGTCCGCTTCGCAGCGGAGAATAAAGATCCCCTTATATCGTTCACACGAGTGTAGGCCACCAGTCCAAATTGAGTAATTATCCGCATATTACTGAATTCAGATTATATGTAACAATCATCACCCCCTTCTGGCAGGCTCATGCCCCAGGTCACTCTTTGTAAATGAGACTCATCCTGGTCTCTTGAGTTCTCACCGATTGAAACAAGATTAACTTGAAGACCGCAGAGTGAACCTGAGTCCGATCCTCGGCTACGGCTAACGTCAGTGACGAGCAATATCTGTGATGGTCCTGGATCCCTCCTGCTTCGCCAACCTGCACTGACCAGCGTGATGAAGTATGGTCAACTTATCTCAATGATTAACAAGATTGTGGGGGGGGGGGGGAGTTGTATACGTGTATTGTTGTATTCATTTTGGAATAATAAATAACATGCACTTATTCGGCTCCTTTCACAATGTCTCAACTCTCCATAATTTGATGGAACATTCAAATTGTGGCAACGGATCACGAACGCGTTTATTGTAATAAATAGATAACTAGACCGGTTCGACCGTGCACGCGACCGATTCAACTCCTGCCCGTCTCTCCCGCCAGACTTGAACTACTGCGGGCGGCACCAGCCGTGCCAGCACGGCGGCACGTGCTCCAACACACAGCCCGACAGCTACGAGTGCGCGTGTCCCGACGGATTCTCCGGCTCCGAGTGTCAGATCGGTGAGAACCGTGGCCGTCCCCACTTGCACCGCGCGCACGGCCATGCCGCGCCACTGCGTGGCTCTCCGATGTTTTTCTCCGGGTAGTTCCGCGCGTTCTTCCAGCACGGTGTCCAACAATAATAATTAAACTATTTATAACGAGCATATTTTCAGGGAAAGTGAAATTTCCATTCGCCACTCGAGGGCGCGGAGCCAGGCTTGGGTTCCCTCGTACGCTCAACGAAACAGTTAACAATGCTACTAAAACCATTTATTATTTTACTAAGTAAGGCTCACCGAGCTATATAGCTCTTTTTCAAAAGCGACCAGGCCACAAACGATAGCTCAACGAAGTGGATTATTACGTGGAAATTTATAACAGCCAAAACTCTAAACGCGTGTTTATAAACACGGAGGGAAACACCGGAGGACCCGGAGAAAAATCCACGCGACCACATGTTGGAAGCTTCTTTATTTCCTTCACTTGCTGAAGAAGCTCCCAGCACATGAACTGGAGCATCGTTCTGTCAGAGCGCTGTTTCTCCGTGGCTGCTCCAGTCAATTGGAACTGCCATGCCCGCTACGCTTGCGCAGCAGCGGCATCGAATCCACCGCCACCACCACCACGGTGGTTAAGAGACGGCTGAAGGCGAGATGTTAACTACCTCACCTGGTACAGTATACAGGAGATCGTGGGTTCAATCTCGACCCTGACGCCTGCTGTATATTTGGAGTTTGCACGTTCTCCCCGTAGTCGTGTGGATTTTTCTCCGGGTCCTCCGATTTTTCCCTCCACATTTAGAGTCTATACGCGCTTAGAGTATTTGGCCGCTATAAATTTCCACATGATAACAAGCCACTTCGTTGAGTTATCATTTGTGGTCAGGTCGCTTCTTAAAAAAAAGTTATACGGTTCAGTGGGCATTTTTTTTTGAAATAAACAGCTTTAAAATGAAAATACGGCCAACGACCGTGGAGAAGGCGACACGAGGAGCCTTCCCATGGAGGCGCGCCACTTGGAGTTTGCTCCCAAGTCTCCGCAGCCCTGGAAAGTCAACGCTCATAAGCTAAAGCAACGACAGCACTGGTGCTCCCTCGTCAGTTCCCGAAGGAGCCCTCAGCTTCCTCCCACGTGACGTTTGGTGGTCCTTAATGGGCATTTGCAAACGAATTCCATCATGTACCAGTGTCAAGGTGGAAATTCAAAATTAGCTGCAGCTTAGCCAAATTGTAATTACGTGGTTGTTTGTGTGTGTGTGCAGTCATTAGTGATTGGTCTAAGACAATCAAACTCGCTACACACGAGAACCTGGTTTAATCTCGGCTGGGAGCCTGGAATTTGAACCTATGATGTCATCTGCGTTGGCACAGTGCTCCAATGCAGGCGTAAATATTGACTGCCCTCTGAGCTGCCTGGCCACCCCTCCACGGATTATAATTCAGGCGTTGCTCGCCTTGTATGCGTATTTGCCAGTGTATGTTTTGTGAGTGTATGTGTGCGCTGTATATGCATGCGTGTATGTACGTGTGGGAAAAGTTGGCGCATTGGTTAGGACAATGCGCTTACTAACTCGGCGACCTGAGTTCGATTCCCGCTCAAAACCAATAACAGTGGAAAATAATTTAATCAGTACTGGGCCTCCCGTAGGTCGACTCAGCCTTAAACATGAGGGAGAAAAAGGCAATCAGGTGTGGGCCTGTGCACGTCAGCCCTTCATGTTATGTTCCAGGTTCCATATCTGCTCGATAACAACATTTTCCCCGACAGCCTATGAGGGCTATGGGGGTAGGGGTAAGGTATTGCGATTCCCGCTCGCGGCCAACACCAGTGATGATTATCTGAACCAGTCATGCGCCTCCCCTAGATTGACTCAGCCTCAAATGAGTACCTGGTACGATGTGTAAACATCACCACCGGGGAGACATAGGGTGGCCGGGCCACCCACAACCTCGTGTGCCGTGCCGGCCTTCATAGATTCTCGCTAAACAGCACTCGCCCCAACAGTCTGTCACAGGCTATGAGGGAGATCATTGTCTTTGTTTGTGTGTGTACGCTCGTATGCGTCCAGTGGAGCGTGCCTGCCTCTCCGATCCGTGCCTCAACGGCGGCACCTGCGCCGAGACGGACGGTGCGTTTGAGTGCACGTGCCCGGCGGGCTGGAGTGGCGAGACGTGCGCGCAGGGTGAGTCCAGCACGCACGAGCACACGCGCACACACACACAAAGACAAAGATCCCTCGTGTAGCTTTGGCAGACTGTCGGGGCAAGCGCCGTTAGCGAGCAGCACCTATGAGGGCCGCCACGGCACACAAGGGGATGGGTGGCCAGTATTACGCCCTGGCCGCCTTTGTCTCCCTGGTGGCGATAATTACACAGCGCACCAGGTACTCATTTGAGGCTGAGTCGACCTAGGGGAGGCCCAGGACCGGTTCAGATAATCGTCACTGATGTTGGCCGTGAGCGGGAATCGAACTCAGGTCGCCGGGTTCGTAACGCAGCGCGCTAACCGCTACACCACCGCTTCGCCCACACACAAACACACACGCGCGCACACACACGCGCGCACACACGCACACACACACGCGCACACACACGCGGGCACACACACGCGGGCACACACACGCGGGCACACACGCACACACACACGGGCACACACACGCGGGCACACACGCGCGCACACACACGCGCGCACACACGCACACACACACGCGCACACACACGCGGGCACACACACGCGGGCACACACACGCGGGCACACACGCACACACACACGGGCACACACACGCGGGCACACACGCGCGCACACACACGCGCGCACACACGCACACACACGCGCGCACACACACGCGGGCACACACGCGCGCACGAGACCGCCAGCGACGTGCCGATTGCTTCCTTCCTCTCGCCCAAAACCGGCCCGAAGCACCCGGCCAGATTCCTGGCGTTTTCGTTTGCACCGTTTAGCGGCGATGGAGGGGCATCGGCGGCAATGGGTTTGCGCTTCCAGGACGCGACTCGCGGTGGGAGGCATTGTGAATTCAATGCCGAATTCGAATGCGGATTTATAGCTCTGGTGTTCATTCCGTTCCTCTGTGGGGGTCATTTCAGGGCTCCAGGATGAATTAAATGTGTACCACTCTCTGAATGGCTATGCTCTGGATGGACTTATTACCACCATAGCAGTGTAGAATGTATAGCGCTGGCCGATGGCTGTGTAAAGGCGATAACGATTTGTTCTAGATTTGAAGCTTTCGGTAAAGTCACGTAGGTAAAAAATAAATGAAAGAAAATTACGTTTTCATTGATTTTATGTATTTTTAACTACGTGACTTTACCGAAAAAAAAAAACAAAGAATATGATAACGATGTGTCTTTAACTGGCGCTTCAATGCCGTAGCATCTCAACACGTGTGATAACGCAATAAAATACATACGGGACATCAGGACGCTGAGCAACAAACTTGGGATGACGCAGGAAACAGAATGAGCGGCTATCAGACGAGACAAGCATTGCCGCACGCTCATCGAGTGGTGAACCACTTTAATTCTCAATCATCATCATCATCATTGTGGCCCATCGCTACGTATTTCTTTCAAACCATGCGAGTGAAACGTGCGTTCGCGGACGGCCCGGCAACACGGTTCCCGCCTCCTCCTTTTGTGCACGGTTGGCTATGTACGCTGCGAGAGAAGCTCAACGCACGTACATTCATACTCGCGACGGTGAGCAGCTTGGAAGGCCGACACTGCCGTCCACCACCGCCGCCGCTGCCTAAAACCCTCACTCCGCCGCGTGGAAGATGTTGCCGCACGCAGTGACTCACGCGTCGATCGCAGAGAGCCGCACCAAGTGACTCACGCGTCGATCGCAGAGAGCCGCACCAAGTGACTCACGCGTCGATCGCAGAGAGCCGCACCAAGTGACTCACGCGTCGATCGCAGAGAGCCGCACCAAGTGACTCACGCGTCGATCGCAGAGAGCCGCACCAAGTGACTCACGCGTCGATCGCAGAGAGCCGCACCAAGTGACTCACGCGTCGATCGCAGAGAGCCGCACCAAGTGACTCACGCGTCGATCGCAGAGAGCCGCACCAAGTGACTCACGCGTCGATCGCAGAGAGCCGCACCAAGTGACTCACGCGTCGATCGCAGAGAGCCGCACCAAGTGACTCACGCGTCGATCGCAGAGAGCCGCACCAAGTCACTCACGCGTCGATCGCAGAGAGCGGTGGCGGAGAGAGAGAGAGGGAACCGCGCGGCGGTAGATGCCGGCGCTGTAATGCTTCCCGCATGTTGTTGCGCAGTGCTGGAATGCGCACGAGAAGTTGCTTTGCGCGCTCATAATTTTTATTTTTTTCCCGCAAACTTTTATGGGAAGTGAGAGCCGTGGATTCAGTTGCTGAAACTGGAAGCTGTTTGCGACTCTGGCAGCAAGCGACATGCATGGCCACCCACACGTGCAGACCCCACCCCCCCCACCCACCTACTGACTGACCCACCCACCTACTGACCTACCTACTTACCAAACTACCATTAGAGTTAGATGAGAGGTAGGAGAGTGTGTGGAGGGGAGTAGAGTGAGATGAGAGGTAGGAGAGTGCGTGGAGGGGAGTAGAGTGAGATGAGAGGTAGGAGGGGGTGAGTCCATGGATGATTGTGTAGACTTTCAGAGCCATCGTGCGGTGTGCTGGGAGCCAGTAACGGGGATCTGAGATGTTACTGTACAGACAGCGCAGGTTCACTTTGCAGAAGTGACCCCTCAGCCCACGTCCTGTGGCACATCACAGATCACAGCCCCGTTAAACGTGGCCCAGAGGGCGGAGAGGGGGGCGGGGTGCTCCCACACTCACTAAAAACAGCCCAACCGGTCTCCCAGGAGCAATCTCTCAAAACAAACCAAGCGTTTCGCCCGCTCGCTCTGCGGAGGTGTAAGAGTCAGCATTTCTTTCAATTATTTTGTGATTACGATTATTATTTTCCCCTAAAACACAGTTGTGCTCGTTAGGACGCAGGCGAGGGAATATCACTTACGCTGGGGGTGGTGGTGGTGGTGGGTGGCAAAACAATAAAACTGCGTCTCCGCTGGTGCTGATTTTGCGTGGACGAGCTTTAGAACCGCAGAGAGAGAGAGAGGAGGATGGGGGAGGAAGGCCACGGTGGCCAACAAACGTTCAACCGAATTGCATCGCATTTCCTGCCTGCTGTTCGAATTCCCATCCGCAGCGGCGTGCGCGCACACTCTCATCTAACCCGGCCGGGGCACTTACGTTTCCAGTCGTGAGCAGGGAGACATATAATTGAGCTCAATCGAATTCAAATGTATTGGTATTCGTATGCAGGTGCTGGGCGAATTATTACATCCGCAGGTTCGCTTGGGGAGTCCTTCATCCAGCGGTGGATTGAGACATTGCTCGTGAAGACCACGCTATTGGTGAAGTCGACTTCCTGCTAAGATTGGCATTGAGGCGATGCTCATCTCGGGTTTCACAAGCCTCTAAGCCAGTGGTGGAAATCCCACGTTCCTACGGCGGGTGTGAGTTCATCCACAGGACAAGCACCGTTGACTTCCCCGCAGACGTGGTCATCGTTTTAGTGACCCTGGAGGGCTGATGGGCTGAATCAACCCCCTCCAGAGAGGAGTTGAACTCGCAAAGCCTTGCCGATTGCGAGCTGCTCGCTCCAGCGCTGAGCAGCCACTTGGTGCTCGCTGGTTTCTGAATCGGAGAGAGCTACGGCCACGGTGTTGTGAGAGACTGGAGGCATCCCCTCCCTGCCACTCAGGAGGCATTGACATGAACACGAACGTGAATGTACCAGAGTGGAAGCGATCGTGTCCTGAGTACGCCCGAGACACCGTGGTATTTCATGACAATTTCTGCCTCTTTGAAGGCAAAATGGACAAGATTGCTTCTCAGTGAGCTGCAGTCCTAATCGGTGGACGCACAGGGCACGAGCATCAAGCCACCCGCTCTTCCATTCGAACGATCGGCCGCGTCCGTAAGAGTGTCCGAAACGTGCATCCTGTAAGTCGTGGGATTGCCCAGTGAGCCGGGTCTATTGCTACCACAGCGCCCCCCCCCCCCCCCCCCCGCCTGTTGCCGGGCAGGAGATGCTTTTAATAGAACCCAGGGAGGAACGATACTGGCGACGCGCGGTGGCACAGCCGGTGATTGCCACCCCCATCCCAACCGCAACCCCTCCCCGCTCCTTCCGAGCCATCCGCCCGCTCTCCTTCTCGCTGGCACGAGAGGGGCGGCGTGAGACGCTCATGGGGAGCGGCAATGTTGGCGGTTAGGCGCGCGGCGCCGAGAAACCTGGCGACCTGGGTTGGATCATTACCGCTCACGGTCAACGCCAGTGACGATTATCTAAAGGCCGGTTCTGGGCCTCCCCTAGGTCGACTCAGGTCTGAAATAAGTACCTGGTGCAGTGTGTAAAAACAACGCCACTGAGGAGACAAAGGCGGTCGGGCGTGTTGTTGGCCACTCTCTCCTTTGTGTACCGTTCGAGCCTTCAAAGGTGCTCGCTGCAAGCACTTGCCCCAACAGTACATTGAGGCTATACGAGGGTGTCTTTGCCTTTGTCCTGTGTAAGCAATGTAGCTCTCGGGTGCACAGGCAGAGCAACTGCACCAGGGCCCACGTGACCAGAGGGGGGCAGGCGCCAGTAGAGTTGCCACCTGTGCTGGTTTTTCGCAGCGTCGTCCTCTTGTTCAGGTTTCTGCCGCTACTGCCCTGGGAAATCTGCGTGGAGTCTTCCCGGGAACGTTAAAGGTCTCGGTTATTATCGGTGGCGGAAGCGGTCGAAACGTCAGCGTTGGAGCGCCGCTATGGAACCTCTCTGTGCGTCCTTTCCCCTCTGCGGAAACACCACCGTAGAATAGGAACGGGAACCGTTGTGCACAGTGCCGGTAGACGCAAGTGTTTGGTGTTGTGACAAGTGTCGCTGTGACATGTGCTGTCGTGTGGCGGCACAGTTCTACCAGCACTGGCTCGCGTAATAATAACAATAAAATACCGCTCAGTGTAAGTGCAGTTCTCCCCTCATTGAGTATTATTAGATAGCCATCTTGCTCTTCCCATGATATGTCCTGGTTTTTTTGCACCTCAGAGGTGGCAACCCAGAGACACCAGGCTGGGAAAAGCGGGGGCAGGGGAGGGATTTGGAGAGGGGTAGCCCTGTTTGATTCAACGTACTGGAGCCCCATGCCAAGCACGCTTAGCCACCGTCCTGAGTGGATGTTGCATCCTGTCGCTTGAACCCAGAGCCGCTAGCCACGGTGTGATGCCATGGTGGGATGATTCGGTGGTGTGATGATGCCATGGTGTGATGGTGCCATGGTGTGATGGTGCCATGGATAACATTGCCAAGCTTTCAACATCACGTCAGATTGCGTCTTTAGGTTGAACGTTGGGTTACGTTACAAAAGTTGTGTATGCTGTGCCGAGGCGCGTTGGCTGAATGCGGCTGCAGCTGTCGCTGGAAATTCTACTGCATTTATAGGAAACTGTGTTTCGTGATTCATAAGAGAAGTTAGTTGGTGTCCCTGCTGCTCTGGTGTCCTGGGAGTGGGGAGATTTACAGGGCTGCGTGTGGAGGGTGAGAGAGAGGAGGAGAATTGTGGGTGGAGGAGGGAGAGGTGAGGCAGATGTGGTGGTAGGGGGGCATTGTTTTATAGGCGAGCGGTGACGCAGAATTGAGTTCGATTCCCGGACGAGGCGAAGATTAGTGATGAGTGATATCCGAACCGGTCCTGGGTCACCTCCCTTCACCAACCTGCACTGACTAGCGTGGTGAAGTATGGTCAAATAACTCCCCGGACTGACAATGGCATGCGGAGGCATTCATCCTGCAGTTGGTTAACAATGGCTCGTAATTATTTTATTTTAATAGCCTTTTGAAATGATGCGTCCCTTTTTCAAGGGAGACCTGCATCACGTAAAGAAAATCGCAAATGCAAATATTCTGCAAGAAAAGCAACACGCGATAATGATATGACCTTCATCCAGCAGTGGATTGAGGTGTACAGTATTGTAATATTTTAATGCGTGACAAATCTTAAGTGAGCAAATACACATTTCTGTTAATGCATACAATACTAAAAATATATTCTGTCTGACGACCCCACGACTGTGCGCCAAATATCTCCGGCATTGGCACGCAACCATTAAACAATGGGGAGCTTTCCATGAATTAACGACCTCTCAAGTTCACGCGAAGAACTCCTGGCAGGTTCGTAGACCCAAGTGCGACGCATCAGGGATTTTATTTATTTTATCCCTCTAGGACAGGGGTTGCCAACACCAACGTAACAAGAAGGTCCGTTGAATTTTTATTTAAAGCTTTCGTGACTGCAGGGATTCATATTCTTGGTTCTTTCGGTAAAGTCACGTAGAAGGGAAACAATACAATAATAAAAATATAAAACAATAAAATTCTCACGACGTTTCGACTGCAACACAAGCAATCATCATCAGGTGTGAAAACCACAGCAAGAATATTTTTTGATAATGATTGCTTGTGTTGCAGTCGAAACGTCGGGAGAATTGTATTGTTTTATATTTTTATTATTTCATTGTTTCCCTTCTACGTGACTTTACCGAAAGAACCAAGAATAAGAAGATCCGTTGTTTTTTTTCTCGAAGTCGGTCACAAACTCAGTATTTCAAGGGCCACAATCACATAATTGTCAACCGGTACGGTTTACCCGTAATATTGTACAGATAAATTGAATTTTCAGATCCATACGGCGTACAGCCGTCACAAACACCGGCACGTGTTTTTGTCTATTTGTTCGTGTTTCTCCCTTGTGATGGGACTTTGTAGGATGAACGTTGAGATTTATAAGGGCACGGGGTGACTAATAAAGTCTAAATTGGCCTGTAATAAGGTAGGGCACTAATAAGGGGTTGACAGGTATGCGACCGCATGAGAATAACGCGACGAAGCAGTCGCTTAAAGAGCCACAAGTGGCTCCGTAGCCCCAGGTTCGACCCCTGCTCTAGGACAAAAAAATGTTGTGGGGGGGGGGGCGATGTTTGGCATCCGCTTTGCCAAGCACGTCGCCTCTAACACAGAGAACCACGGGTCGACCTGCATGTGTTTATACGGCAGTGGGTAAGTCAAAGGTGAATATACGGAAGTGGGACTGTTCCAACAACAACAACCGCCTATTCGCCACTAAGTGGCGGTGACGTCACCACGACGCTTGTGCCACGCTAGGTGCACTTTGAGGCCACGTGAAGTGTCGAAGGCCCGTTGGCAGGAGGTCACGGAACCAGACCCAGGTGGCATGGGTTGACCCGGGGGTCCCCAACCCCCGGGCCGCGGCCCGGTCCGTGGCCTGTTAGGAACCGGGCCGCACAGCAGGAGGTGAGCGGTGGGCAAGCGAGCGAAACTTCATCATCATCTGTATTGACAGATGAAGCTTCATCATCTGTATTGACAGATGAAGCTTCATCATCATCTGTATTGACAGCCGCTCCCCATTGCTCACATTACCGTCTGAGCTCCGCCTCCTGTCAGATCAGCAGCGGCATTAGATTCTCATAGGAGTGCGAACCCTACTGTAAACTGCGCATGCAAGGGATCTAGTTTACGCGCTCCTTATGATAAGTCAGAATCCGACACTTATTTGAGTCCATGCGTGGCCCGCCCATTATTTTATTATTTGCCACTTCCGTCCGCACCTCTTTCCCGCACTGTGCACTTGTCTCAGTCACAGTTTTGGTAAGCCCACAAGCTCACCCCTAGTAGCCACAATGAGTCAAAAACAAACGTCGCTGGAGAGCTTCTTTGAAAAGACCCAATGATGAACCCCCCCCGGTCCGTGAAAAAATTGTCTTCCACGAAACCGGTCCCTGGTGCCAAAAAGGTTGGGGACCGCTGGGTTGACCGACTGTGCACACCTCACTATGCCAACTTTCTGCGTTTTAGTCGCCCGGCGCTCTGTTCGTGGGTAAGTGGGTGAGTGAGTGGGTCAGTGAGTGTGTAAATGGATGAGTGAGTGACTCACTCACTCAAATATCCCCTGTATAGCATTTAACAGACTATTGGGTAGAATGCTGTTACCCACTCACACGCCCATTCATCCACTTCCACACCCACTGACCCACTCATTCACACACTCACCCTCTCACACATCCACGCACTCACTTGTTCACCCACTTACACACCCACTCACCCACTTACACACCCACTGACCCACTCACTTCCACACCCACTCACACACTTTAGACACCCAGTCACACACCAAACGGGAGTGGGCAGGTCAAAGGTCAACATGCGAAAGTGGGGCTACTCTAACAACACCGACCCACGTGGCTGCGGTTTGTCACAGACCATGGAGCATCTATTGCTCTGCCAACTCCTAGAAGAGAGAACCATGCACAGTGGAATACCTTTCCAGGGCTACAGACTGGGCCATATCAACATCATAAACCATGGTCGATCTAATGCTGGCCATATAATAATGTGTATGTTTCTGTGATGGCAGGTCACATGCAACTTCGATTCGTTATGGATAACGACATTATCCTCGACATATTCAGTGAGAATTCATCCCTGTTTGAGACTGTGGGTATCTAGAAGTCAATGTTTATCTCCGTGAGTGTTTGCAAGTCCTTGGGCTTTGTGAGTCCGAATTCTCTATGCGAGACCAGGGACTTCATTTTAGGTGGATCTCTCCTAATCAACAACCCAGAAAATATATCTGTGCACGGCACACCTCATCCAGTCTAATACTCGCTATGGCCGTGGCCACGACCGCACCTCTATGAAAGAAAGAGCTTCATAGCGCATCGGATTCATCCCGGTACAGCTAAATATTCCGGTTCCTGACTCGTCTCTTGCCACCTACTCTCATCTCTACGAGCGACTCGGAAAATACGCGACGAGCTCCGGCCGTTCTCCCACGGCTGTAACCGCCGACGCCCGTGATGTCTGTGCGCGCAGACGAGGACGAGTGCGAGCAGAGCCCCTGTGCCCACGGAGGGGAGTGCGCGAATCAGCCGGGCGGATTCCTCTGCAGCTGTCCTCCCCAGTGGACCGGGCGCACGTGTCTCGTCGGTGGGTGCTTGGAGTCTGCCACCATTCGCATTCACACACACACGCACACACGCACGGAGAGAGAAGCGTGTGAGAGAATGTGTTAGAGAGTGCAAGCCACCAGCCCCCCCCCCCCCCCTGAGGCATCAGTGATCCAGAGCCATCGTCGTTCTCATTCCCCACACACACGTCCACTCCGCAGGACCTCGCTCATGCCTCCCATCCGCACCTCCGATTAGCACGGTTGGCTCGGCACGGTGCGAGAGAAGTTCAACATAGATACGTCTGTGCGACAGCTCCCTCATCCACCATAAACCTTCACCCGTAATATTAGATGTATAATAATAATGAGAATTATTACAACTTGTAACGCGCCACCGCATAGTATTCACTCACTCTTGTAGCGGGATGAATCCCTCGCCCTGGCCTCCATCACATCCCATCTTGACCATTGCAACTCCCCGATGCAACGTGCCACACGATGGCTACGCATTGTGAGGGGATTCGCGCTCACAGGCTGTTGCACAGATGGATTCGAGAGCCATTTGGTGTACTGCCAGCTTCTGGCCACCTCGCAGCGAATTATGATCTCGCTTTGCTGCTCCCACTGTCTGGAACGCCCATCCGCCAGTCGTCCGTGCTGTCGACTCCCTGCACCCTGTTCAAGTCCAGGCTCAAAACCTTGATGTTTTTTTTTTTTCCCATCTGCCTATGACGGACCGCCTCTCTTTATGATTTGAATATGTCCGCTGTTGCTGTACAGCATCTTGAGATGCGATCGCGTTCATACGCTCTGTAATTCCACGTTGTATTGTATCGTATCCGCACGTTATCATATGACAGAGGTCAAAGTGCTCCATCGCTCAACCCAAGAAACTGAAATTTTCACATTTATGTGAGTTGGGAACAAGTACCCTCATTGGAAATGCTCAGAGTCCGGATTGTACAGAGACAACATCGCCCCTCCGACTGGCAGGCTAATGCCCACTAACACGCCAAGTATTGAGTCACCCTTTGACACGTGGGAAGGGCTGCCACTGGGGACGTCCTTTAAAATCTACAGAGCACTCTGAGACGCCCCGGCGTATTCAATAGCACAATATATATTTCTCGTTATTTATTAAACCGTAAATTTGTTTTGGGTTAAAGTAAAATATATATGCGGCATGATGTAGTCTTGTATTTGCAGTCGCAGGCACTTATCATTCACGTGGATAAATTATTTTAAGTTGAATATTTTTTTATATAAACTTTTGCAAATGTGGAATGATGGTATACCTGTCATGTAGAGTTCAATGCAGTTCATGAACATTAATTATTTTCGCATTTTTTCACGCACACCTTTACTATTCCACTTTTATTTGAGTAATTTCCCATCCTTTTTCCTTGTTGGTTTATGGAGCTATGCATAGTCCATGTTTCCTTTGGCAACCCAATGATTTTCGATACCTCTCCTCTCCTTCGATATGTACTCCGTGTGTTATCATACGCAACTTTTAAATCTAGATTGAAAAGTTAACTCTTTAGCACTGCTTTTTGTGTTTAGTTTGTTGTCCTTTCCCGCACCCCTGATTAGCACGGTTGGCTACGTACGGTGCGAAAGAAGTTCAACAAATATACATAGACGGTGACTTTTCCTCTGTTTTAATTTTACCCCTAACCCCCCCACCTGCCACGTTCAGTGCAACTGTCCTGTGCGATGCTCGTTAGCTATTTTATTTTTGTATTGCTCGCATCCATTTCATTAGTTTGTTATCTCTAGGGATGCGAATATGTTGCCTAGGACAGGTCTCAATTCCCCCAGCTCCTGAACAAGGTCGTTGACGTGCACTCTCTCGTACAGCGTGGAGAGAGCTGAAAAGTGTGCAGGGAAGCGTGGAGAGAGCGAGAGAGACAGGCACAGGGGGGCACGCGGGGAATTACGCCGAGAGACAGAAAGAGGAGGAACACACGCATCAGATACCGAACGCAAATCGCAAGCATCAACGTTGACTGTGAGGAGAGGAAAGTGGCTGCCAGATCGGATGGTGGCCACGGGGCAATGCTCGGCAATGGAATGGATGGAATAGAAACCAAATGGGGGGGATGTATCCTAGAGAGGATCGCCTCTGCGGAGATGGAGCAATGAGAAAAAGCTCGTGTGCAGGAGTGAGATTAATCACGCGGGAGGGGGCGATGGCTTGCGGAGCTCCTCGTATAGCAGTAGATGGATCATGTATCATGGTGACGTATATTCTGTATGGGGGTTTTCAAATTATAATTATCGGATAGTGTATGCTTTATTTATTTAAAATTAATTCTGTATATATAAAGGATATTGTTATTTTTAAAAATAATTTCTTAGATGTTTCGATTGCTTTAAAATTCGTCCTTTACTCCATCCGCACAAATGATCGTTTCTCCCACGTACTCTAAAAAGGCATTCACTTATCTATTCCTGGCGCCTGCCTCCACTGCTGGGTTCAGATCCTCCGGTAAATCTGCGACAGGCCTCCTCCACACGTGGCTTCCCCTGTTTTGGTTTCCCCCCACAGGTTTCACTTGAAGCCACGTCAACACTCACCCCCTTCATAGATTAAAAACCATCGAATAAAGTGCCACTTATTTTTTGTTTCATTTTAAGCAAGACTGTGATGTTCAGTAATGCCCCAATTGACGTCTCCCTCCCTCCACCCCTTTTTGAACATCGTTTCGCAAATACGTCGTCACTTTATTTAATACCGCGAGCTTATTCGCGTCGCCTCAACGCCGCACTTACGTCGGTGACAGCATCGTCCATCCTTTCTCGTCATCCTCCACCATCCACCTGTCCTGTAAATCGCTTTGATTGACGTCGTTTTGATATTCGTAGTCGCACCTTTCAGGAACGCATCCCCGACGCAGACCGGGGTATTTCTCGCCACGGTGGCCAGGAGATGTTAACTACCTCGCAGGGTATACAGGAGGTCGTGGGGTTCGATCCCGATCCTGACGTCTGCTGTATATTTTGGAGTTTGTGTGTCTCTCTTCCCGTGGTCGGATTTTCCGGTTTTTCCCTCCACATTTAGAAACATGCGTTTAGAGTATTTGGCTGCTAATAATTTCCACGCGATAAGCCACTTTGTTGAGCTATAGTTTGTGACCAAGTCGTTCTGAAAAATAACTCCATATGTCAATTGGCCTTACCTGCTAAGGTAAGGCCAACTGAAATATTTCTGTATATAACAAAATAAAATAGTAGTAAAACAAATACAATTCACACCAAAAAAGGCGAGGAAACTTTCAATAAGTTGGGCAAGGTGGCCCCAGGGCGCCGATCGCTGGTTCTTCGCTGAATATCGCACCCCCGCTGTGAATTCGACAGACGCCGACGAGTGTGAAGACAACCCGTGCAAGGGCAACGCCAAATTCTGCAAGAACCTGTTTGGTGGATATTATTGCGAGTGCCTGCCGGGCTGGACGGGCCACGACTGTGACGTCGGTGAGTGGCACCACCAACTCGCCCTGCACCACCAACTCACCCTGCACCACCAACTCGCCCTGCACCACCAACTCACCCTGCACCACCAACTCGCCTGGCACCACCAACTCGCCCCGCACCACCAACTCGCCCCGCACCACCAACTCACCCTGCACCACCAACTCGCCTTGCACCACCAACTCACCTTGCACCACCAACTCACCCTGCACCACCAACTCGCCCTGCACCAGCAACTCACCCTGCACCACCAACTCGCCCTGCACCACCACCAACTCGCCCTGCACTACCAACTCGCCCCGCACCACCAACTCACCCTGCACCACCAACTCGCCTTGCACCACCAACTCACCCTGCACCACCAACTCGCCCTGCACCACCAACTCGCCCTGCACCACCAACTCGCCCTGCACCACCAACTCATCCTGCACCACCAACTCGCCCTGCACCACCAACTCACCCTGCACCACCAACTCACCCGGCACCACCAACTCGCCCTGCACCACCAACTCGCCCTGCACCACCAACTCACCCTGCACCACCAACTCACCCTGCACCACCACCAACTTTGCGCTCTCTGGAAGTAGCTGGGGGGGGGGGCATGGGGCCATGCTGACTGCTGCTGCTGCTACTTGCTGCTGCTTGCTCCTGTAGCTGCTGTTGCTGCTGCTGCTTGCTGCTGTTGCTGCTGCTGCTGTTACTGCTGCTGCTGTTGCTGCTGCTACTGCTGTTGCTGCTGCTACTGCTGCTGTTACTGCTGCTGCTGTTGTTACTGCTGCTGCTGTTACTGCTGCTGCTGTTGCTGCTGCTACTGCTGCTGTTACTGCTGCTGCTGTTACTGCTGTTACTGCTGCTGCTGTTACTGCTGCTGCTGCTGTTGCTGCTGCTGCTGCTTGCTGCTGCTTGCTGCTGTTACTGCTGCTGCTGCTGTTACTGCTGCTGCTGTTGCTGCTGCTACTGCTGTTGCTGCTGCTACTGCTGCTGTTACTGCTGCTGCTGTTGTTACTGCTGCTGCTGTTACTGCTGCTGCTGTTGCTGCTGCTACTGCTGCTGTTACTGCTGCTGCTCTTACTGCTGTTACTGCTGCTGCTGCTGTTGCTGCTGCCGTTGCTGCTGCTACTGCTGTTGCTGCTGCTACTGCTGATGTTACTGCTGCTGCTGCTGTTACTGCTGCTGCTGCTGTTACTGCTGCTGCTGTTGCTGCTGCTACTGCTGCTGTTACTGCTGCTGCTGTTACTGCTGCTGCTGCTGTTACTGCTGCTGCTACTGCTGCTGCTGTTGCTGCTGCTGCTACTGCTGCTGTTACTGCTTCTGCTGTTACTGCTGCTGCTGTTACTGCTGTTACTGCTGCTGCTGTTACTGCTGCTGCTGTTACTGCTGCTGCTGCTGTTACTGCTGCTGCTGTTACTGCTGCTGCTGTTACTGCTGCTGTCACTGCTGCTGCTGCTGTTACTGCTGCTGTTGCTGTTGCTGCTGCTGTTGCTGCTGCTACTGCTATTGCTGCTGCTACTGCTGCTGTTACTGCTGCTGCTGTTACTGCTGCTGCTGTTACTGCTGTTACTGCTGCTGCTGCTGTTACTGCTGCTGCTGCTGTTACTGCTGCTGCTGTTACTGCTGCTGCTGTTACTGCTGCTGCTGCTGTTACTGCTGCTGTTACTGCTGCTGCTGTTACTGCTGCTGCTGTTACTGCTGCTGCTGTTACTGCTGCTGCTGCTGCTGTTACTGCTGCTGCTGCTGTTACTGCTGTTACTGCTGCTGCTGCTGTTACTGCTGCTGTTGCTGCTGTTGCTGCTGCTTGCTGCTGTTACTGCTGCTGCTGTTACTGCTGCTGCTGTTACTGCTGCTGTTGCTGCTGTTACTGCTGCTGCTGTTACTGCTGCTGTTGCTGCTGTTACTGCTGCTGCTGCTACTGCTTGCTGGTGCTGCTGCTGCTGTTACTGCTGCTGCTGCTACTGTTACTGCTGTTACTGCTGCTGCTGTTACTGCTGCTGTTACTGCTGTTGCTGCTGTTGCTGCCGCTTGCTGCTGTTACTGCTGCTGCTGTTACTGCTGTTACTGCTGCTGCTGCTGTTACTGCTGCTGTTACTGCTGCTGCTGCTTTTACTGCTGTTGCTGCTGCTTGCTGCTGCTGCTGTTACTGCTGCTGCTGTTACTGTTGCTGCTGTTGCTGCTGCTGCTGTTACTGCTGCTGCTGTTACTGCTGCTGTTGCTGCTGTTGCTGCTGCTTGCTGCTGTTACTGCTGCTGCTGATGTTACTGCTGCTGCTGCTGTTACTGCTGCTGTTGCTGTTACTGCTGCTGCTGTTACTGCTGCTGCTGCTACTGCTTGCTGGTGCTGCTGCTGCTGTTACTGCTGCTGGCTGTTGCTGCTGCTGCGTAATCCTAGTTGAGATTCCTGTGGTGTAAGTTTTTAGATTTGGCCAATGCGGACCCGGACGCCGGCACGCAACGGCCCCCTCTTGCGAATGACGTCACGGGATCTTTAACGTCCACCGTGAAACGAGCGGCGCGTGGTATCACAGTTCCGTTCTCCGATAGCGCCGGGTGCAGTTTTCGCAACGCGAGTTGAATCCGAAGCGCTGAATGTACCAGGGAACGCATTTTTTTGTTTTCGTAACGCAGATGCGACTTGGGTATAACGCGATCGAGTGAACAGAACTACGTCGCGCGGGTAGGAGTAAGCGATTGAGCGGCTTCCTCGGGATGCTGCTGGATGCTTATAGATGCTATCCACGTGCACTCAGTCATTGTTCGGCCTGCGTAAGCGTCTCACGTTTCATCGCGGACTGTGCTTTATCCGATATCAGCTATAATAACGCAATTTTTTTTTCCCCCGTAAAGCGGTGTTCTTCAGCAACGCAACTCCCCGCGTTATAGGAGAACACACTCTTTGACGGTCACGACACCCACAGTTAGCGGGGCTTCATTTCAGCTGCAGCTGTCTAGGGCTGAGCTCCAGAATATATTCCCCACCCCCCACCCCGCCCGCCCGCCCGCACCCAACCACCACTCTCCCCATATTTGTGGTAAAGAATAGCGTGCACTTGACCACGTAATTTACAAATATTAAAATAGCACACGATCCTCGTGTTTGCTAAGCAAGTAGGCATGTATCTATGTATTTGTATCAAGGATATGCTGTGACGTAAGGAGGGCAACAACATGATGGACGAAACTACGCGCATGTATTTGGCAGGTACCCTGGTAAAAAAAACAAAAACGTAACCAGTCGTCTGAAGGTTTTGAGTTTGTTCGAATTGTTAAAACGGACGATGGTCCCGTTCAGCCAGCAGCTATTTCAGATGATTTACGAGGAATGTTGCACCACTCACAAATGAGGTAAAGCTGCTGCCCTGGAACTGCTTGCTCACGCCACTGCTGGCGGAAGGGATCCCCCCCCTCTAGGGGTATTTGGCCTACTCTTCCCCCGCTAGAGTCGGCGGCTGTGTGTGCATCAGTCGTTTGATTTTTCTCGCTGCAGGTGTTGACGATTGCCAAGGACGGTGCTTAAACGGCGGCACGTGCACGGTAAGAGAGGCCAGACGGCTCCCGTTTGGGCCGTGTTTCATCGTCACCACCGCCATCGTCATCGTCGTCGTCGTCGTCATCATCGTCGTTATCATCGTTATCACCACCACCATCATCGTAATAATAATTCACTGTGTAACAAAACAAAATTGTTCCTGGGTAGTAAGTGTTATTTACTCATTTCTTATGCCTCAAAAGTGTAGAAAATTGTTATTATTCCCCACAAACTTTGCTTTTGTGACCAGGACAGTGATATGTTGAAATATACCTATTGTCAATGAGAACACGTGGTGTGCATTTGTGTTTTTCCTTCGCATAAAGTCCTGGTCACAAAAGCAAAGTTTGTGGGGAAAATTAGCCATTTTCTATACTTTTTAGGCATAAGCAATACAAAAAAAATAACACTTACTACCCAGGGACAAAAATCGTGTTACATGGTGCATAATCATTCTTGCATTCATATAATCACACTTATATTGCGCCCATAACAAAACGTCCCAGAGTTCAGATTGTTACCCTAGGTGGCAGCTTGCCCATGTTGATTCAATCTTAGTCCTATCGAAGCAATATTTGAAGCAACTGGCAGGACCCCGGGGTCCCATCACTGCCCCGGGGTGGGAAAAACCGCGTAGCGACACGAGTCTTGCCTTACCGACAACAAAACTAGTGGTCAATCGATTGGCCTCGTCGAGAGCTACTCGGGGCACTAAGTTTCGTAAAAAGTTGAAAAATTACACAAACACGTTAAATTCACTGCTTGGGGGGCGGCGGGCTCGCCTTGGCAAAGAAGCTGAGGATCGACGGCTGACCGGAGGGCGTCGTCGCCGCGCGTGACTGCGGCGGACGCCCCCCGGGGCTTGCGTTTGGCCGGTGGGGTGGCGCCCATCGTGTCGATCGCCACCTGCTGCTGCTGGCGCTTGTTGGCAAGAGTCTGGGCGGGCGGCGCGTTGCTGTCGGGATCACGAGTGGGGCGGACTGAAAAATAATAATAATTATTGACCTGATTTTTGCGGGACTCCGGGGTCCCGCCAAATGATTCATTTCATCAAACACACAAATGCACATCACACTCCGAGGGCACAACCGTAAAGAAGTGCAAACGAACACAGACACGTACATTCAGACAGAGTGTGTCGTCAGTGTAAATAATGAGATATGAACGGAGATGGCGGGCGAGTCTATGATTGTGGGGGTGTTGGGGGGGGGGGAGCAGGCACGATGGAAACTGCATGAAGAAAATTGAGCAAGTCGATGAAGGTTAATCGTGAGAGCCTCTCCGTTTCAAACAGCGGCACTTAAATAAGAATAAAAAAAAATGTAGCATCCGCTTCCAGGGGCTGTTCTTTCACACTCGAAGGAGTGTGCCGATCTGCAACACATCCAAACGGATATTTCGTCTCGTATGTATGTTGAACTTATATTGCACCGTACATAGCCAACCGTTTTAATTGCCGGTGTGGGGGAAGGACAACAAACTGAACACAAATAGCAGTTCTAAAGAAATCAGTTTTCAATCTAGATTATTTCAAATTGCATAGCTCCAGTGGCTTCCTAATATCGGAAGGGAGAGCGTTCCAGACGGCCTGAGAAGCGCATCTGAAAGCGCGCGATGCAGTGACCGTCTTCGTTCGCTGGCTCGGCACATTAAATAAACATCGATTCATCATTGACCCCGCGTAGTAAAGTAACTGTAACGAGTAAAGTAGCGGTTTCCGGAACGACGGAAACAAAAACATCTGAAAGAACCCCCCGATCGTCCTATGAATTACCTTCAGCAGCACGCGAGCGGGCGCGCGAACTCCGCGTGCCCGCTTCGCGGTGATGGATGTCCTCGGGTTTTTTTTTACTTCCTTTCAGGAAGTGGAGAGGGGATCACGGTGCTCGTGCCGGCCCGGCTACACGGGGCGCCGCTGCGAGAAACCCATCGACGGTAACTTCACCCTCGGCCGCGCGTCTTCTACCCCACCCCAACCCCAACCCCAACCCCCTCCCTCTCTCTCTCGGGAAATCTCTCGCCCTCCGTCTCGGTTTTCTCCGCGAGACTCCACCGAGCGGAAAGCCGAGTCACGGGGAGCGGGTGGCCGCGATCGCCGCCGCGCAGCTGGAAGAGGAGAAGCGTAACGGGGGGTGGGGGGGGGGAGTGGAGGGGTGCTGATCTCTTGCGAAGTGCCGGGCAGATGGGGTGAGGGTCGGCGGGAGGACTGTGCCGAGTGGCCCCCGTTGGCTTAGCTGGGGGGGCAGCGTTGGAGGGGAAGCCGGGATTACCAGCAGCCTCGATTGCGTTGTTCGTTTGAGCAAGGACTCACTTTGCTCAAATGAAATCTGGCTGCCGCCTGATGATGCCGGTTGTAATTACTGGCGAAACGTCGTGCTCAGATTGTAAATGTTGTGGATTTGCTCTCCAACACACCGGTGGTGCTGTACTAGTAACGAATTGGCATGTTCTGTTTACGTGACAAACCTTACTAATTTATTGTGTATGGTGGTGGCGGGTTTAACGTCACATTTATATCCACGCAATCTAACCCAAAATAAACTGTGTTATGGATTATATTGGTCGCAGAAGCCTACGTGTTAAACTAAGTTGTTGGTGTCGGCGGGTAGAGCTAGGACTAGTGACTGGTTTGTCAGAATTAGGGGTAAAGGTCGGACTCGTGGCTGCTTCTTTAATTGGTTAGGATTGGGATGAGTGAAAGGTCAAATACAATTGGCCTGTTGCGTAGTTGATTAGGGCTACGGTTAGTACGGATGGCTTGTTGTCTTAATTATTTTGGAGTAGGGTTATGATCGGTGAGAGGACTAGTTCTAGTGATTTGTTTCGGTTTATGTTAGAGAGCGAGTACACAGTAGCTGCGTGGCTATTGCCGTGGTCAGTGAGAGGAGCCAAGTCCTCCGTTGCCTGCAGTGCCTTCAACCGTTTCGGCTCGTATTTGGGGAACGTGAACGTTTCGCGGTGACCGATTTAAATGCGCGAGAACGTTTTGTTTGTTGTATGATAGTCACGGTAACTGCGCGGCCCGTGTCATCACCCCCCACGCCTGCCCCCCCGGAAAAAGCCCCACGGTTCCGTCTTTGTGTTGCCGTCCGCCAGGTTCGGAGGACGCAATTCGTAAAGAGCGACGGCGTTGATGGAAACGTTTCCACGCTCGCAACAACCTTTAAGTCTGCCTTTGGCGGCGGTGCTGCATTTGTTGAACAACACAGGGCGGGGAAGTGGTGGTGGTGGTGGGGAGGGTGGTGTGTGGCTCAATGTGTACTCGCTCGTTTGGAAATTCCGGCGTTTCAGAAACGGCGGCGATGAGGCGGCGGCGGCGGCGGCGGCGGCGGGGTGGTGCCGTCCCGTCCCCCCGCCCGCCACCACCAAACCCCAAAATAAAAACAAACGGAAAAAATAACCCCCCCCCACCCCAGAAATAAACACCGAGCTTAAGGACGGCTAATGCGATCCGCGCTCGAGTGGACACTCAGAGCCTCTTGCCGGCGGAGGCCCACTATTTACTCCAGAGGGAGGAGGAGGAGGAGGGGGAGTGGGGCTAGGGCAGGACGGTTTTTTTTTACGTGATCTTGTCTCCATCACTTCACCACTTGGGTCACCGCCGTCTGCCGCCACAAATAAGGCGGGCATCGAGGCTCGGTGCTCGGCGCGGAAAGAGCCACGGGCCGCCCCCCCCCCCACCCACCCCTCGGAGTCCTCCCGCGTCAGGGACATCGCGGGCAGCAACGCGGAGGTGGCCCCCATGAGCCAAGACCCGAGGTGTCAACCCGCGTGGAGCGACGTGATTTTTTGGAAGAAAATTATTATTATTTTTTTTTCAAAAGAAAAAGCCCCTCGCGATGCCGTCAAGAACGGGTTCAGGGTTCGCGGGCTGCCGTCGTGCAAATATAGCGTTCCCTTAATGATCGCGTCGTCATCATCATCGCGTGTATTTTCGTTGCCCGTTCCCCCCCCCCCCCACCCACTACCCACCGAAGTGAGTGTGTGGGGATTACTCGCCGTGGGCGTCCTGGATAGGGAGCCAAAAATTGTCCGCTAATGAACGCCGTCGCCTTACGCACGGAAAATGGAAATAACTCGAAGTGCCGCACCCGGCTCGCTAATCGCGCGGGGCTAATCGAGTTTCGAACGTAATCCTGCCGCGGGTGCTGGCTCGCGTCCACTTCGTCCGCACCTGTCGTCGCTGTTTTATTTCATCGGTTGGCCAATTGCTGAAACCCCGAGTTCGATTCGCAAACCAAGGGCCCGAGCGAGATTTCCGTCGATTGTCTCATGCAGCACAGTGCATGCGCGTCGACTCAAATGAGTACCCGGTGCGATGTGTAAGCATCGTCACTAAGAAGACAAAGGCGGCCGGGCGTGGTGTTGGCCACCCGCCCCCTCGTGTGCCGTGCCGTTCTTTATAGGTGCTCGCTAACAGCACTTGCCCCCACAGTCTGTTAAGTCTACACGGGGAATCTTTGTCTTTGTCGAGTGAATATTAGCCCAGGGTAGTGTAGCGGTCAGCGCGCTGCGCAACAAACCTGGCGACCCGGGTTCGATTCCTGCTCACGGCCAACACCGGTGGCGATTATCTGAACCGGTCCTGGGCCACCCCTAAGTCGACTCAGCCTCAAATGAGTACCTGGTGCGATGTGTAAATATCGCCACTAGGGAGTCAAAGGCGGTCGGGCGTAGTGTTGGCCACCCACCCCCTCGTGTGCCCTTCATAGGTGCTGCTCGCTAACAGCACTTGCCCCTACAGTCTGTTACAGGCTATATGGGGGATCTTTGTCTTTTTCTATTTGTGGCATAACGTGGTTGGCACGGGCCCTTGGTGGTGCAAAAATGATATGGGACTCCCCCATGTTGCCCATCTCCATGGCCCGCCACCTGGACTCTGGGCCTGGGCAGCCACGGCGCTGACCTCGGTGGCGCGCGCGCGTGTGCGTGTGCCGTGCGTGTGTCGTCTCGCACGTGAGCAGGGCCTGAGAACTGCACAGCGGCCGTGGCGAACAGAACGGCGGGGGGTGCGGCGGCAGTGCCGTCGTCGGTGGCCGTCGGAGACTCCTGCCGGAACGGAGGCTCGTGCGTGTGGCAGGCTGGCGCTCTCCGCTGCGTCTGTCCCGCCGGCTGGGAGGGGGAGCTTTGCGAGCGCGGTGAGTGCCGGATTCCGGCTCCACGGGGCAGGCCCGCCGTCGGTTGGGTCAATTCTGCGGCGACGGAATCACGGAATGGCGCAGAAGTTGCCAATCACAGCGTGAAAACGCAACAATCATTTTTTGGCTTTGAAGTCTCTAAATGTCCGTGCCGCAAAAGTGTACGTGAATATTAGCCCCACTGACAACCCACTGCTGCTTGAAGGCGTTTCCAAGCCACATTGTTCATGGGGGATGTTTGATTTTACTTCACCTTTCTGGTCAGTGCGGGTTGGTGAAGGGGGGGAGGCCCAGAACTGATGCATACATCGCTCTCCCACTGATGTTGGCCACGGCAGGGAATCGAACTTAGAGGGCACCAGGTTCATAGCGCAATACGCGAACCAATGCGTCACTCGTGACTCTACCTCCTCGGTTGGATGCCCTCTCAGGCATCTTCCCTCCTTCGGCTGTCACTCTGTCACTGCTCTCGACCGCTAGCCGTCCTCATCCCTCAGATCCACGTCTCTCAGCAGTGCGACGTCTCTAAACCCACCAATGTTCGTTCTCATCCGGACGTCTCCTCTTTCTATCCCTCGGCGTAATTTGCAAGCATTGCCGTGTAAATGGAGAAAACGTTTAATGTTTGTTGGCGATCGTCCTCGCGCTTAGCCAAGTCGCGCTCAAACACACCGGCAGGTCACCGGGAGATGAGAGCGGTCTCAGCATCACGTCGCTAATAATAGGGCTCCCTGCCGCGGTGTTTGAACGCTCGCCTTTTGTCCAGAAGGACAAATTTGGCTAGGGCCCCACAATTAATTATGGGGGTTTTTTTGTTGTTGCTTTCATCTCCGCTGTCGATACGCGCTGCTGGTCGCTGAGATTTTTTTTTCTCCTTAATTGTGATTCAGCGTGACAGACGCGGCACGGGCACATCATTTTATGGGCCGATTCATTTGGACAATTGTTGGGGGGTGTGGGGCTGCGATAAGCACAACAGTATTAGCATAAAGTCCTTTACGAAAATAAAAATAAAAATTTGGCGGAAGGAAAAAAAAGAATAAGAAATCTCCGATCCCAAAAAATATTCGTAAAGTTTCCAAAGCTCTCCTCAAATATGCACACGTGTGCAAATACCCGTTCGAGTTTTCACTACGTGTTAAATACATACCACACTGTAACTCTACACGTTTATGGCAAGTACATTGTGAGAGTGTTTATCGGTGTTGAGAGCAAAATAATAATAAAATAAATTAAAAATGTATTACAATAATAACCAGGCCTCCCCATGCCATTCGCGCCACTCGTGGGAGTTGTTTCACCATATTTTGCCATGCGGGTTGCGAGGGGTTGGTCGGTGGGAGCTTGGGAGGGGTGATCACGATCGGTTCAGACATCGCTCGCCACCGATCGAAACTCGGGGTCGCGGGGTTCAGAGCGAAGTGCCGTTCAACCGCTGCACTCCTGCTCCCCAAGTCAAATGTATACAGAGTAAAAAAAAAACACACACACACACAAGTGGCAGACGTAGAAACATCACAACAAAACTCAAGCGTACCTCTTATCCTGCTGTGAGTGGCTATTTAAAAAAAAATGAATATTTTTTTGCTACAAAAAATTCAAACTGTTAATCGGCTTCATGCCGTAAGACAAGCAATCCATCGGTGTCCCAGAACGCATTAAAAATGCATGACTTTTTTCTTCCTCCTCCTCCTCGACTCTCAGCTGTGAGCCGCTGCGACCCGAACCCCTGCCAGAACGGTGGGCAGTGCCGTGACCTCGCTGGGGACTTCTCGTGCCAGTGCGAGGGCGAGTGGACGGGCAGCACCTGCGGCTCCAGTGAGGCCTGCATTGCGACACAAACGCGACGAAGGCACCACACAGCAGACGGTGCACCTCACCACAAAGGGACAAGTTGGGGCTCCAATCACGGGGCAGTAGCGGAGAAGCGCTCGCTTTGTCTGCTCCGTGCCCTGCCCGCTCGGTCGCTCACTCTTCTGCTCGTACGCAAACTCAAGACGCTCGCCTCTCTGCCCATTCGCTTACCGTCTGACTCACCTGTTTTTGCCAATTAGGTCACCTGCTTACTGGCCCGGTGCTCACACACGTGCCTGAACAATCACTCATTCATTCACCCACCCAAGCATGAGTGTGTCGAAGCTAAACTATGTTGGGGAGTCCTTAACACATGTCGTGAGAGACATTCATGCGACGTAGTGCAGTCACACATTTTTTTATACCGAGGGCAAATGTAAGTCATACGTGGCTCTCATCATCAATACCATGGGTCCCTTCTGGTCAGCATGAGCCCTTGCTCGAATCTGTATGACAATACTTAAGTGGGTGCTGCGACTGACGCACTCGAAGAAGGATGAACAAATGCACAGATAACTCCTGTGCAGGTTTTCGCGGTTGTGCCGCATCACCCTCCAACGTGTCATCGGGTCACGTTCTTTTTCGTCACGGTGGCGGGGCATCATTTGTAAATCAATCCGATCGCAGATTTTTTTTTCGTCGTTACTGCAATCGCCGGTGACGCGCGGACGTGGCGATTTCCGTTTGGGCGTTGTTGCGATCGCGACGGCGGGCGGCAAATCGGCCTATACCGCTCCCGTTGCCCCGGCCGTCGAATAACGGCGAGGGTCACGGCTTCTCAAGGTGGCGTCCGCGGGCCGGCGGAAGGGCCGCGGTGGGTGGGCACTTCGTTCAGTCGCGCGCCAAGCTCACGGCGGAGCCTGAGCCCCCGGACTATTAAAACTAAAACTAAACTTTTTTCAGCAGTTAAGTCCCACTGAGCTATATGGCTTATCGTGTGGAATATGCATTGCAACAAAATACTCTAAGCACATGTTTCTGAAAGTGGAGGGAAAACCCGGAGGGCCCGAAGAAAAATCCACGCGATCACGTGGAGGGAGAACACGCAAACTCAAAATATACAGCAGCAGGCGTCAGGGTTGGGATCGAACCCACGACCATCCTGTGTACCAGGCGAGGGAGATAAGATCTCGCCACCAGCGACACATTCCCTCATTGCCTCTTAGAGTCAAGGTGTGCGAGGCCCGGTCGCCTCGACTCGGGCGAAACTCGGGGCTTTCGCCATGTCAATCCGTCGCACCTAAAGCAGCACATCTGATCGAGCGAAGTGTGTTCCTTGGCGCGCACCGAACGGCGTCAAGGGAATCGCTCCCAAAGTTAAGAAAGCAAATTTACGAAAGCCTCTTGGGGTGCTTCGGTAAAAAAAAAAAATGGAGATTACGGCAGCTATGCGTTCAATATTGTTTCTATCCTCGCTTATTAAAAACAAGTGAATATAATAATAACAAGCGATGATCCCTGCGGCGAGCTGTTTCCCAGGACTCTGTGTATGGATCGTGCTAAAATGTTTACGCGCGTCAGACGGCACGCTGCAAACGGACGCTGATCCCAACGGGCGCGAATGCTCTCGGTTCTTGGCACGGGCGGCCGTATTGATACACGTTTGTATTTTTACGCTATTGCGCTGTACGAGATTTCACCTTCTCAAATCCCTGTTTTCTCTCCACTTTTCAGGTGCGAACGACTGCGCTTCACATCTGTGGTACGTGCAGCTCCTGCGGCACACACATGGTGCAAAGTCTGAAGTTTATCGGCTTTTGTAATGATCACAGTTTCGAATAGTCGTGTTTTCATTCTCTACCCCCCCCACCCACCCCCGCCGGCCCCCCGTCTCGTGCCGTGACGTGCGCAGCCACAACGGCGGCACGTGCGTGGACGGAGGGGACTGGTACCTCTGCGAGTGCGCCCCGGGATTCTCAGGGCCCGACTGCCGCATAAGTAAGACGTCGCACACCCCCCCCCCCCTCTACTACACTATACACTACTACATTATACACTACTATACATTACTATACTGTGCATAAGTATACACTACTACACTATCCACCACTACACTATCCACTACACTAGCCACTACACTAGCCACTACACTATCCACTACACTACTATACGCTACACTACGATCCACTACACTACTATACATAGACTCTAGCTCTCACAGGCATTCCCAGGCGAGCCGAGAGACATAGTCCCGCCAGCGTCTCCTGGGCCGGCAGAGAGAGGAATGATCTCAGACGGACTGGACCTTGGCAATGGACACTCAACATATGTACATTAACAAAACCCTGATCGATGTTATGGCTTTTATTCTAGAAGCACATACATTTCTCATTGATGCTCATATTAGTTCTGGTTACTGCTGTTAAACTGTCATATTACATATATTTATATTGTCAACCTGTCAGATTATTTTACGACGTTCATAAGTTTGAGTAAGATCGCCTACATCTAGCGACGGATGAGAGATTTGTCCATATTGTTGTTGCGTCAAATTCACAGTCACTTCGCCATTGGGCCCTCCTCGTTTATGGGAAGGGGCGGTTGAATTCGACTCTGTGTTGGTTGTCACCGGCATCACTCTGTGACCATCCCGTCCTACTGTGACCCTTGACCTGGGTTGAACTTGACTGCTCCATTCCAGTCCTGCCAAAAGCGCATCGTTCCCATTGCGTTTTCCCTCCGCCAGTTTGCCCGGTTTTTTTTGTTGTGCCAAGAAATTATACAATAAGTTAATTCCCAACAGCGGCGGCAACAGAAGCAGCAGCAGCAGCAACGTTTAGGCCCCGCGACGCCTACCTCGGCATCAATCATCACCAGGATTTAGCACCCCCTGCTGCAGTGGAGCCAAATTTACTGTGGAACTCCGGGCCCGACTGCCAAGGGGTCAGTCTCAGGTCCTGTTTCGCTTCGGGTTTCTCGTCAGGTTACAGGGATTGTAAAGCCCGAGTTGGCTCGCTGTGCTCCTGCCAGAGAGGCACCTCCGATCATTAAATAACACCACACCACTCCACGTGCAATAAAAAAAAATACAAAACTCAATACAGAGAAACTTAACAGCGTGCCAGTTTTTTTTTTTTACAATATTATAATCTTGGTGGATTGTGGGAAACATTTACTGTAATCATAAATGAATGCACACAATTCTGGTTTGTTCCCTTAAAATAAAAAAACACGTAGATCCACGCAGGACTTCATTTATCACCGAGTATTTTCCGCCAGCTATGTAAAACGGCATATTAGAATAGGTGACACGTGGCTTTTAGTAGCCACTACCATAGCTAAAGGTATCCTGAACCGCGTGTAGAAATACAATCGACGTCGCTAACCCAGACAGGCCTGGCTGAAATTAAGCGCAGCTGCTTCTTTGGGTTACCAAAGCAAGTTGTCGAAATATTCGGCTCGAAAGTTTGCCTGGCCGCCACTCCGCACCGCGTCGCGAGCAGCATCGTGGGACCAAAGTAGCGTAGTGCAGTTGGCACGGGCCCTGAGGGCAAGGAAGAGAATGGAATCGCTGCACCACCCCCCCCCCCCCCCCCCCCCCCCCCCCGTTCAATTCCACCCCCCGTCTTTGCTGGCTTCTAGGTCCCAGCCACCCCTGGGGGCCCCAATGCAGTTGTGTGCCACGGTGGCTAGGAGATGTTAACTACCTCGCCCGGTATACAGGAGGTCGTGGATTCGATCCTGACCCTGACGCCTGCTGTATATTTGGAGTTTGCGTGTCTCTCTCTCCCCCCGTGGTCGTGTGGATCTTTATCCGGGTCCTCCGGTTTCTACCTCCGCATTTACAATCAACGTGCGTTCGGAATATTTGACTGCTATAAATTTCCACGCGATGAGCCGCTTTGTTGAGCTATCATTTGTGGCCAGGTCGCTTCTGGTAAAAGAGCTACGTAGCTCAAGGGCCTTTACCCGGTAAAATAAAAAAAGAATGCAAAAAAAGTTTTAAAAAGTTTGAAAGTTTAGTTTGTATGGCCTGCGCACACTCGATAGCCACGCCACTCCGTGGGACCCACTGCGGCTCTCGCAGATCCGACTGCAACTCTTTGTCGGAGAGGGCAAGAGGAGCGGGAAGCTCAGAGGCAGTGCGCCACCGCTCGACTGCTCAACCCCAGACCACCCAGCTGCTGCTGTTACGTCTGTAACACTGCCATTCAATGGGAACCCTCTCCCCCATTCCAACATGTAAACTAGGAAAATAAACAGCGCTCTTTCCAGCGCGCAAAAAGGTTCACTTGCGTCCAGCAAAATCTGAGCACGAGAGGAATACTCCAATCTATCAACGACCCCTGGAGTGACTTGTTACAAAAACGTCCGCGTTCTCTTTTGTTCCCATTATAACGGTCAGCTGTTGCCGTTATAATGAATGAATGAATGCTCTTTCCTGCGGTCTGAAATAGCTCGAAAGAGCCGAGGTTTTTAGCGTGGCACTTATGCGAGAAGGGCGCCTCAACATTACAGATCACGTGCGTTTTGCAATCAACAGCAATGCCCTTTATTTATCCAGCAAAGACTGGCCGAGCCTTTTCTGGGGGGCGGAATACCGTGTAAATGCTACACAATTGTTGTGCAGTGTAACACGCCAACGATATCACACTCAAGCACACGGTACGCAGCGATAGATTCATACACACGGTGACACATTGAACACACGCGACAACACACTGGAGCACGTGGCGAGCGACTCTCTCGTCTGCCGCGTTGCCGCCGTGCCCCCGAGTGCAGACGTGAACGAGTGCCAGTCGTCCCCGTGCCCGCGCGGGGCCTCCTGCGTCGATGAGATTAATGGCTACAGGTGCGTGTGTCCTCCGGGGCAGCCCGACTCCAACTGCCACCAACCTGGTGAGTGAGATCATCCGACCCCCCCTCACCCCTCAACCCTAACGCTCAGCGAGCGAACAACTGAACAAAAAAACACACGAACAAACGCACGCACGCGCCATGTGCGCCATACTCAGCCAGGCGCTTGCACACATGCACAGGGACAGAGGCTGCCCCTGTAGCCTGTGGAGTGTACAGGCGGTGCAACTACACCGGTGCGCACGCGCCGGATGGGGGCCCGGGCTCCGGGCTGCGAACGGTGGGGGAAATTGGACGTGCCGACCCGCAGGCCCGAAGTGCCAAACGGCCGGCAACAAACGGCAGGCGCATTCCGGGTGACTTGGGTTCTAAAATCCACTCGTAAACAAATTCATTCAAAGTCCGCCGAAGTGTTTCTGACGAATGCGGCGAGTTGTTTTGTTCATCATCAATAATGATTCTTATTATAAATTCACGCAGCCATGGAGGTGCCCAGGCCATGCTGGCCCCACGGGGAGTTCCGCGCGCATGGCTCCACGTGGGTCGATGGGTGCAACACCTGCCAGTGCGTCGACGGCTGGGGCAACTGCACCAAGGTTCGAACGCTCCTCGCCCATCATCATCCATTTACACATCACCATCATCATTATCATAAGCCATGACCAATCCACTGTGGGATAAAGGCCTTCTCAAGCCGCCACCATCTGTGGCCAGTGACTTGTATCCACCAGTCACAATGAGAGGTATCCTGGATGTGATGTGCCGGACATCTGTGAATAAGAGCTTTGTAGCTCATCAGATTCCTCCAGTATAAATATATATTCTGATTCTGATTTTCTGGGTGATCGGCTCAGATAGACACGGCTCTCAGGACGTCTGAACCAGAATGGAATAGTAGGGCAAATATTGACCCTGTAGGAGCGTTCTCTTTAGGGCAATTTAGTGGAGGCCTTCTGCCATCAGTGGGGTAATTTCAGGGCTGCGCCTTTACCATCACCTATCCCACAGCCACGCGGACCCTTTGCCTTGATGGTGTCTGCAGACCCACAGTGATCGAGAGTGCAGGGTCTGCTTATTCAGATGAGAAAAATAAAAATACGCGCGCGTGTTTTGTTTGGGTCGGAAGTTAATGTTAACATTGGATCGGGTGGCGCGCCCCGCTCGCTCACCGGCTCACTCTCACAGCGAGACCGATGATGTGGGACATTTATTAAACCGCGTGTTCCAGTTCCTCGATATGCTTTCTTTGGATGTTGATGCTCATTGGATTTTTTGCACCTGACTTGGTGTGAATTATCAGAGTTGGGTGGATGTGAATACAGGATTCGTTGAACCGGCAGAAAATTAAACGTTAGGGCTGCGCAGAGAGAAACATTTTACTGAATGTTAGAAGCGAAGGAAGACTGAGCTTTGGGCAATTCAAATGCACGGCTTCGAAGCATCAACCACGCAACCACACAGCATCGCCCACAGCACAATAGAGAATCAACCGCATAACTCCACACAGCATCGACCACCACAGGATAAACCGTACGTAATTATCCAAGCAGAATCAACGACACAACCGCACAGAATCAACGACCACCACAAAGAGTCAACCACATAACCCCACATCATGAACCACATGACCCCACATCATGAACCACATGACCCGGTAGATTCAACCATCAAAACCGCCATGGTCCCACCACTTTCAGTTTTTTTTTCAGTTTTCATTTATTTGGTATAGCCCTGTGAGCCATTCGGCTCTTGAATCGGGTGCAACCGCAACAAACAATATTCCTGAAAAAGCACCATACACCAACGCTGTGTGCAAAAAACCCATTGGGATGCAATTCAAACAACAACCACAAGACAACTTAGATTAAGGGCATCAGTCTAACTGTGTACTACAACAAACAAACATGGCCAAACCAAAAAACTTTTCGACATCACAAAAATAAAGCCATAAAAGCAATGTAACAGTGATCATAGGAACTGTGACCGAATTTTCACAATAAACGACATAAACAACATGTAACACCACACCCCCCGCACCTCCAATTAGCACGGTTGCCTGTGTAAGGTGCGTACTTACATTCCTGCCAGGACACGCGCCAGTTTTCACTCTCAACTCCCGCCCCCCTCCCCGCGCCTCGCCCAGGTGTGGTGCGGTCGGAGTTCGTGCTCTCTCTCCGCGGTGGCCTCGCCGGGCACGTCCGACCCCGGCTGCCCTCCGGCCCACGCGTGTCGGCTGGCGCGGCGTAGGCACGGCTGCCTGGCGGGGCCGTGCCGGGAGGGGGCCGGCGAGTGCGTGGGGCCGCCGCTGCCGCCGCCGCCCGCCGACTGCCGCCCCGTCCCGCCGCCGGATGGGGTGGCCGAGCGGCCGGGCTGCGTGCGGCTCACACTGCGTGTGGATCGCGCCCGCCTGCCTGCGGTAACGTGCGGCGGGAACTTTTCTGTTTGTTTGTTTAATGCCGTGATCGATCCACTGCTGCTTCTTGATTGGCCGCCGCCGCCACCGCTTTTATTCTGGTGGTGGTGGTGGTTATTTTATTTTTTGTTCTTCACGGTTGCCGAGTACAGGCCCAAAGATTTCATGTGCCAAGCGGCCAGCAAAAGAAAGCACTCCTAAATGTTTCATTCGTCTTCCTACTTCTCTCCAATGGCTATTAACCTAGCAGCAGCAATACATCGATGTCTAAATTGTGATTCTAGCGGCTGGTTTCAGAGGCCAGGGAGTGTGATTCGCCCGTGCCCCTTCATTCATTTACCTGTACGTGTCAAACCTTGAACTGCATTCCACACACCCCATATTTTCGAAAGCTGCACATAATCATCTTCAAAATGACACCCCCTTCTCTGTATGATTGGGATTATTTCATTCGTAAATGATTATTGGCAAGGAAGGATCCCGCCAAGGAGATGCCAACTCAACGGGTAGTAATTTCATCTCCGGACGTCTGGACGGCCAATTTTGAAAAGTTGTATGTCCTGCCAGGACACGCGTCAGTTTCCGAGGGTTAAGGGGACTGGCAGGAACTAAAGGTCTCGTGATTGGCTCTCGAAACATCCGGAGATGAAATTACGACAGCTGGAGAAGCACCTCCATTGGCGAGATCTGTCATCACCTACGGACGATGCGACGTTTAAAGTCTAAATCGGAACGGCCGTCACGAATGTTTTTCTTTCGATCGGGATGCCTACCTCGCCTAATGCGTGGTACTGCCCGTGAATCGCCAACGTCAAAACCGAACGCGATTCTCTCACAGGGCACGACGGTGGAGCACATCTGTGCGGACCTGAGGCTCCTGCCGGGCGTGCGGGACTTCTCCTGGGTCTACTCGCTCTTCGTGCTCTGCGAGCGGCCCGAGGGACGCGAAGACACGGTCGTCGTCGCGATAGTAAGCCAGGCGGGGGGGGTTCCGCGCACGCACGCGCCCGACGCTGCCCCCCAAACCCCTGGGTCTCACCCACAGGCTTGCCCAACCTGGCCAGGATTTCCCAGGGTCGTTCTCTCGATGAAGAGGCGGTTGGCGTCCTGTGGGCACCTGTGAATGCTTCCCGAGATGTTAAACGTCTCCGCTTTCGCCAGTTGTGTAATAATAGGCGGCTCTACTACTACTCCTACTGTGTTTTATTTTATTTTGCCAGGTAAGGTTCACTGAGCTATACAGCTCTTTTCAAAAGTGACCTGGCCACAAATGATAGCTCAACGAAGTGGCTTATCATGGTTACAGTTATAACAGCCAAATACTCTAAACGCATGTTTCTAAATGTGTTTCTAAAACACATATACAGGTACATACAAGCATACACATAGAGATAGATAGATACACACACAGATACACACAGACAGAGATCCCCCGCATTATTTTTTGAGAGACTGTTTGGGTAAGTGATGTTCCGGAGCGCCCACCAATGACGTCTGCGCTCGCAGCTCCACCACAGCAGCGTTCCTTTCCAAAACAAAGGTGCATAACTACGGTGATTGATGAATAAATAAATCAATATCGCGTTCTTCCAGTCCACAGACCGCTCGGCAGGGCCCCAGGGGGGCGGGGCGGTGTGGGGCGCGGCCACGGTGCTCGCCGAGGCCGCGCGGCGGAGGAGCGGGGAGCGAATTGCAGCCGTCTCGGACGTGGAGCTCAACTCCAAACGGCCAGGTCAGGGTCGCCCCCCCACCCCTTCCCTACCCCGTCACGTCATCGGCAAATCTGTCCCACAGGCATTATTGTAGCTGCGGTGGTGGCGGTGATGGTCAGGAGCGGTGTCATAGAAGTTACTGCGCTGCGCCACGAACCCGGCGAGCCGAGTTCGATTTCCGCTCATGGTCAATATCAGTGACGATTATTTGAACTAGCCCTGGGCCTCCTCTAGGTCGACTCAGCCTCAAAATGTGTGCCTGGTCCGGTGTGTAAACATCGCCACTAGGGAGAAAAAGGTGGTCGGGCATGGTGCTGGCCACCCACCACCTCGTGTGCCATGCCGGCCTTCATAGGTGCTCGCTAACAGCGCTTGCCCCAACTGTCAGTTAAATACTATATGGGGGATCTTTGTCTTTGGTGGCCACTGAGATCATGGAGCTTTGAGAAGCTGTCATCAGCTGACAGAGGCTGCCACCATCTCTGGCAAGATAGCCCCTGAGCCAAGGCAATTGGTCGGTACCACGTCGGGTGGCAAATGCTAATGTATACACCATAAGCATGAAGACTAGCATCCACACTTTCCATACTATATAAGATACTTCCTATTTATCTTCATCTTCCATGGAAGTTTCCTATCACATTAATTTTTAGTTTTATGATAAACATAGCTAAAACGGTGACCTTGCTATCCAACATATTTGTGATATGATAAAATTATTATCGGAAACCATGGTGAGCATTTGCCACCCTGTGTGTTACCGATAAAACCAATTTTGGTCAATGCATCCGAGGATCAAGAGATTTCAGCTGAAGTGACTGTCACCGTGGCAGCGTGAGTGAGCCAGAGCCCCGGATTGGCTTATCGGCCACGTTTAGAGGATTGCTGAATCCCTAGGTTTTGATCTACCACGAAGCTCATGGGGCAGCTTAAACCGCATCCGCTGCACAAACCATGGAAGACGCGGATACCTGATGCACAAATGGCAAATAAAAAACTCTCCAGTAGTGTGCGACAGCGGTTATCCAGAACAGACCGTAACAACGTATGACGACGCAACGCCCCGATTCACGAATACGAAGGAGACATCACGGGTGATACACTCCGCCGCTGCTGACGCGGTTATCTGGGCTTGACCAGCTGAAGGTGAAATTGTAGTCGTTGTCTCGCTCGGAGGTCTCCATAGGGCAATCAGCTTGGACGCGCGCGCTACAATCGCAGTGGCAGACAAACCGTGAGCGTTGACACGATGCCTGTGGGGCACAAAAACAACTTTAATTTGCCTTGCGTCCTCTTACAGTGGAAGAGACTTTAAAAATGGATGAGATGGCCGCAGTTTGAGAGGCAGATCACAATCATGGGAATGTTAATAATACCCACGTTGTCACTTATTCATATGTAATGACATTTACTTATCCAGGAAAGCCTCACTAAGCCTCAATAATTATTTTGTTAAGGTCCTGCATTGGGGATGTTTGGCCTGTTCCATTCATAATTGTTTGGTTTTGAGACTAAACTTTTATGTTATTTTACTGGGTAAGGCCCACTGAGCTATACAGCTCTTTTTCAGAAGCGACCTGGCCACAAATGACAGCTCAACGAAGCGGCTTATCGCGTGCAAATTTATAGTAGCCAAATTCTCTAAACGTGTATGTCGATTCTAAACGTGGAGGGAAAAACCGAATGTCGTGTTTTCGGTAGAAGTCCACAATGCATACGAGGGATTAACTTAAGAGATCCTTAAGGACAGGGACATGAAGCCAATTGCTATAGTGCCAGGTCCTGTCCCCCTCGCTACCCACTGGACTGGGAGTAGCAACACAAATCTGAGCGATCCACCGAGCGTTGCATTCAAAGCACCCACGTAGACTAATTTATGGGCAGATCTTTTAATCAACCTACAGACAGAAGAACAGACGATCAGATAGACCGATGGATAGATGGATGGAATTATGCAGACGAATGGATGAACGGATTCTCACACAGAACCACGTGCAGACTGTAGAGTGGACGTACGCACGGACATACTAACAGATGGACAGGCACGTTGACTAAGGGATGGACAAGATGGATGGAATTATGCAGATTAAAGGTCACGTGCACAGCCTAATGGACAGACGAATTAACTTAAAAACAAAGCACGGACAGATTGAAGCATGGCCGTGCGGACAGACTAAGAGATAAACGAGCGAAATGATAGAATGAATCGTTCAGACGGACATGTTAACCACCCCCCCCCCCCCCCCCCCCCCCACCTGCGGCGCCCTTGTGCATCAGACCACGTGCTGCTGGCCGTCGTGTCTTCGCTGCTGCTCGTGCTGCTCGCCACAGCCGTGCTGCTCTGCGTCTGGTGCCTCCGTCGGCGGCAGCGACGGCGACAGCGGCGGCGGCGGAAGAGGAACGACGACGACGACGACGACGACGAGGAGCCGGTGGCAGCGCCGGACGTGGCAGGCCGCCGAAACAACGCCGGCGCCGCGGCCGCCGGCGGGCAGCCGCCGGCCAAGATCCACAACCCCATCGTGCGGCACCCGCGCGCGGCCCTGCCCGCGCGCGCCGTCAGCAACAAGGAGCTGGAGATGAAGCTCAAGGGCAGGACTCACAACTCCGAGCTGGAGCAGGTGGAGATCGACAAGCTGCGGAGGCCGGCGGGCAAAGCGGACGCGGGGAGCGGCGGCGGGAACAGCCTCGCCGCGGCCCAGGCGGCCCAAGCGGAGTGCGAGCCGCTGAGGCCCAACGTGCAGCCGTGCGGCCAACCCCAGATCCTGCAGGTGACCGTATGATGCCCAGCGGGCAGGCGGACTCGATGAAAGCTAAAACTCACTGAAAACAATTAAAACGCTGTTGTGATCTTCCACTCGCGCGGTTATTTTTTTTTTAAACGTGCAGCAGTATTTTTTTTACGTTGTTTTTGTTGTTTTATTGCGAGGGATTATAAAATCATGCCAAAAGTTGTTGCGCGCTCGAGTGTAGGGGAATTCGGATCGAGGGATTGTTATCGACAGTGGTCGTGTCGCGACGCAGGGTCAACGCCTGTGAGCTGAAGCGAGCTTGGCCGGGGCTTGGGGATGTGCGGAGTTCACCGCCGGCACAGTGCAGCGAGCGTGCCCGCATTTTGAAACAAGGAAAAACATAATCAATCAGCTGTGCAGTTTAGTTTAGTTTTTATATATATGTCCAGCAGAAGCGGTTTGAATAAAATTCACACTTTGCACTTTTTGCTCTCTCCTGGTGTAGGCGTACAAGCACCTTCAGGCCGTGTTACTTGCCCGATCGCGTTTTCAGGGCTTTTACTCCTCGTCCACAAAGCCTCGCGCCCTCGCAGCCAGCGTCCCGTGGGAGACGGAGGTGCTGTGCCGTGTTTGCACGGTCGTTATAAAACAGGCCGGAGTTTTCCCTCGGTCGTAACAAGAACACATACTCTCTGGTTCTTTCGGTAAAGTCACGTAGATAGAAAAAAATAATTAAACAACATGACGTTTCGGTCGCAACACAAGCGTGCGTCGTCAGGACGTCATTAGGACGCTTGTGCTGCGACCAAAACGTCGTGTTCTTTTATTATTTTTTCTACCTACGTGACTTTACCGAAAGAACCAGAGAGTATGGATTCCTGCAGTCACGAAAGCTTCAAATCAACAAGAACACACCCCGTGCATCGAAAAATTATTGCGTGCAATTGCATTGGCTGTGGTTGCACAGCTGCGAATTAAAAAAAAAATAACCCATTCGTCAATAAGAATGTGTCCTTAAAAGTAAAAATATGTAAAAGGCAATGATTCGGGAAATGGTCCTTTTTCATAACACATAGAGGCCAGAGAGTTCGAGTCAGGCCCTCTCCCCTATTTATCTGCTGGCCTCTCTATTAACGTGATGGGCCATTTCCCCGAAACGTCGCCTTTTATACATTATTTTCCATGCAAGGTGAGAGGATGTTCTTGACGATTGTGCCGACTTTCAAATATGGGCAAGTGTGGCCCAGTGTGCCTCGGTTCCTTGCACCAGTGCTCCGAGGCCGTGCAAAGCGCCGAGAGCACAGCTCCACACCGTCACGAGCCCGGAGGAAAGCGACCGTGTATTTTAAACGCACGCTATCCCACGCCGAACGCCTATTCTTTCCTCGCACTGTTCTGTTGTAAAAATCGATACGGCTCGAGCGGTGAGCAACGCAAGCGGCGGCAACGTCCATCATTTTCGCAGTGTTTGCGCCGCCCTTTGTTTAAGCGCAAATGCGGCCTCACAGCCGACCCGAACCCGGGTCCGCATCGCTCTTCCACGCTCCACACCGCACCCCCCCCCCCGCCCCCACCGTAACGTCGCGACTGCACCCGAGAGCCACTTGCCTCAGCGTGAGTGGCTGCCTTTCGTAAAGTGAGCCACTCGGCCCGGTGACAGCTGGCCGTGCGGCCCAGGTTGCAGCTCGCAGTAAGGTCACTGTGGGTACCGAGGCTGAGCCAACTTATGCAGTTAACGAAGCAGGCAGGCTCAGTTTTGAGAGTTCATGGGGACGCGGCCAGAGAAGGAGGGAGAGAGAGCAAGAGAGTGGTTTTGGAGTGAAATGTGGTAATTGTGACCCGTGAAGGGCTCGCAGTACTGCTGTGCTCCTTACACGTTGATGCAGTGATGCGTCACAATCTGAACACCGACCGTTCCCCTCCAGGTGACCTCTAGCTGATGTCCTGTCTTCAAGACAAAAAAAGCAGATGATTCACATCTCGACGGCACGGCCGAAATGCAAGCACATTGTGGCGCCCAAACGATTTGGGCCTGCTGTTCGTGCAGAGACGAAGGGCACTACGGAAAAAGTCTGGCGCCAACGATATGGCGAATCTTCGGTATCAATGAGTGGCCTTCCCCTGGACACTGCTGTGGCTTCTGCCTACAAGCCGAGTGCGTGCGATAGCGGAGCACGTCTTCTGGTTAGCCCAGGGGTCCGCAAACCAAAATAACAAGAACAGGCATTTCTTTAGAAATCGGTACAAAAAAAACCTCTATGTCAAGAGCCACAATGCACGTGCATAACGTCACGAAGGAGTCCTTCAAGAGACGCCTGAGGCTCCGGAGCCTCAGATTGCCCACCCCTGGGTGAGTCCAACACCCCTGCTCATTTGTTGCCACGTCAGCCTTCCCTTCGCTGGCTACGCTGTCGACTTGGCAGCTGGTACCCCGCGGAAAATTCAAAAGGGCCTTTGGAAACCGCAGGCAGACTTTTAACGGCCAAGCGCTCAATCATCTTAGGAGCTTGTGTGAACTTTGGCAACGGTCATGTGCACACTCGATTTGGCGTTAAGATCCGATATTTAAACAATCGTTATTGTATTGATTTTGTTTATTGTTATTGTGTATGGCTGGGTGGTGTTGTGAATAGTGTTTGACGCACAATCGGAAGGTCGCAAGTTCACATCCTGGATTGACCGAGCTAATCATCCCCCTCCCCCCCCCCCGAGTATATAAAATTAGTACCACGAGGTGGGAAGTTGACGGTGGTTGTCCCAGACCGAAAGGCTGGCTCTTGCCATAGACATGTAGAATTTCCATGACTTGGCTCAAGGCCACCAATGGAGATGAGCATTGTCCAGTTCGCGTTTGAGCAGGGAGACGCTTTCAATCGACCTCTTGCACCGTAATCATGAGCATTAAGGTTCGTTTTTCTTTTCTTTTTTTATATATAACTCTGAATGTCAATAAAGATGCCAGCACATCCGTGGAATTTCCATTTGCCCATTGTAACGGACCGTCACCAGATTGCCAAGTGCTTCTGAGCGACAAAACGCTGCTACGACAACACCGAGTTGGATTCACCAGTTTGAAAGAGCCACCGTGCGCTTAGGGGTAACTCCAGGGCAGTGCTCGCTGGAAATTCTTCATCAACACACACTTAGCATTAAATTATGTTTTTTTACTGGCCCGCAGAGAGCCCCAACACTCTATGCCAATGCTGGATCCAGCTACTCGTGGTAAATGCGTTGCCAATAACAATTCCTGATATCACGTACATAAACGTTACCCCTCGCCCCCACGAATATTCGTGACCAATATTCAGAAATATTGGTTCCACATCCGAATATTTTTGCCCCCTTGTTTTTTTAGTTCCAAAGTAATCTCTCTCTGCCTATGCATCTATACCCGTGCATTTTATACTATAGCCTTAAATTTAACACCACTTTCCACACTTAACTCGTGAAAGAGTTTTCTTTCCGTCGCTGTACTTTTTCACACCATTCGTTAGGTCCCGACTTTGTCCTCGACAAAGTAGTGCCCAGCCATAAAGTCGTGCCTAACCCGAAAAGTCGTGCCTAACCATAACACAACGCCTAATCACCTAACCGGGGGGGTGAAAATACCTAGGGGGGGGGGGGGGCGAGGACGCAAAGTTTGCTGGTGGCAACGAATATTCGCTAGCCCCCTGGAGGAATTGATATTTGTTTACTCTGGAAACACTTTCGCGGAAACTGCCCACCCCCCCCAGTGGTGTCGTTGCTTCGCCATGCGAGCGATAATTTTCCATGGAGAGCGGAGACGTGGACGCCAACCACGGAGTGGCGCCTCCACGCGAGGGGCCTCCTCCCCACGGCCGTTGCTCGCGCTTTCGTTTTTGCTGCCTCTGTAAACGCGCAACATTGCGTGGGTTGGTTTTGGTCGTCGTCGGCACCGATCACTTCCGGCGAACGAAGGAGCAGGAAAAAGAGAGGCGGAGAGAGTTAGAAACGTTTTGGTGAGATTCCCGGCGCAGTTTTTTTTGTTTTTACGATCGTGCCGCAGAGCCATCCGATGCGATTTTGTCTGTTCCGCGTGATTTCCACACGCCTGGGAGCTTCTTCAGTTCCTCGAAGAGGCTCCCAGCACGTGAAGTGAAACGTTGGATATCGTGCCGAGCAGCGAGCGGCGCAAGCCGTATACGCTCCTGAGAGCCGTGCAGCACAACCGCAGTTGCACCGCGCGTGGTGCTCAGCACGCAAAACGAAACGTCGGACGTCATCCCCGAAAGAAAAAAAACACGCGATACAACCCCCCAAAAAGAACACATCGGAGAGTTCGTGAAAATCTTTCCCCCCCCCCCCAGCTCGCGGTGTTTCCGACGCGCAGAGCGACGCGGGAGCCGCTCCGGACTTCGCTCCCTCGGATCCGTGCGGTGCGCGGAATTTTAAACATTCGCTGCAGATCAATCCCGCCGGCTTCCGACGGAGATCACACACGGCTCTGGTCGTAGCTCATCTTGTAACGGATTGCGAAATTTCTGATACTTTGCGATACACGTGCATTCCTATTTTATAAAAAGACTTATTTATTGCAGGTGTACATTGCTTTAGCGGAATGTGGAGTTGGCCTTTTTGTCACTGTACAGGTCTTTTTTGTAATGCCACGATGATTATAGCCGTGAAACACGCATTGTTTCAATAAAGATTTTGTTTTTCTTATCATCAACCGCGAGTCGTTCAACGCTCATTTACGAACTCCGCTTGGGGAAATAATTCCACTCTGGACGTGGAATTATGAAGAACTCGGATGAATCAAATTCACTCGGTTGGCCGAACAGCTTCATCCACTCCGTTGACCTAAATGTGATATTTGCATCATCAGCAGCAGCAGCACTGCTGGATAAACGTTTCCCCAAGCCAGCGCCATCTCTCACGGTCAGGATGCGACAATTCACCCAGCAGCTCCACACGAGCGGATTTCTTTGCTCGCTCTCCATGACGATCGTCAACGTCCACGTGTATTTTGCAATAAACTATGAATAACCGCTTCTCGTATGCAGAACTCAACGTGTGAATATACCCAAACTTCCAGGAAAAATAGATCTTGAGCTTATCGTCCGGATTATAAGATAACATGGAAAGTAAGACGCACCCCGAAAACAAGTGTCGAGTGTCAATAAAATAATACAAGTCTGGTCTGGCACACCGCACCCTGCACACCGAACGGATTTTTAGACAAATGCCTCAACTTTTACTTTAAAATACAGGAGCGGGGGGGGGGGAGGGGGGTGCGAAATACACCTTATAATCTTCCAGCAAAGCAATCAGGACACGTCCATCGAAAATAAAACAAAACGCGTCGGATCGCGCAAAGTGAAATCCGCTCTCGAGAGTTCATCCCAGTGTCGGGGGAGGCAGGGGTGGCGGAGGGAGCCGCGCGCGTGACTTGATTCCAGCAGAACTCGACGATGAATCGGCGCTGAAATCCGTGGGGGGGGGGGACGAGCGGAAACTGGAAACTGGCGAGCAGAGGGCCTTGAGCAGAGCCCCGCACGAGCCAGGGTCTGCAAAACATCCGGCCGCGAGCAATCCGACTTGGGCCCATGCCTGCCGAGTCAGGCAGAGGCCGCGTGACCGTCTCGCGCCGGGCACCCCCTTGAGTGGCACTCAAATTTGTGAGCCCCCCCCCATCCCCCCCCCCCCGCTCCAGTGCCTCAGACGGCCTAGAGGGTAGTGCCCGCCCTCCCGCCCCACGACGCGCCCGGAGAGCACCGAGACACGGGGCGGCAGAAATTAAAGGACCCCCCGGCAGGAAAATTAATGAGGTCTGTGGGGACACATTACGGTCAAGCGGTGAGATATCAATGGCGCGGACCGCGGCCACCGTAGCGCAGAGCGGAGCGAGAGGGACAAACTGCGCGGAGGTTTTCATTAATCCCTCGCGTCGGGGCCGACGTCTTCCTCCCCGACGTTCAAAGCTCAGCGTGGATTCTCCGAAAAGGACGCGGCACGCCACAACCTCCACCCTCGCTCGGCGTGCCAAGGATGGGGGTGGCGGGGTGGGGGAGCACCGCTGGCGCGACGATGGACGCGCGTGGATTCTGCAGCGCGTTCCAACGTGCCGTCTGCGGTGGCACCGCGCGCGGTTCGTCACGACGTCCGACTCTTTCGCTTCCGCCGCGCTGCCAGCTACTTCGGCTCCCTGGGTTTCCGAAGCAGCGCACCTGCACCCATAACGAAACGTCGGACATCACGGAGAAAAAAATACGCGACACAACCCCGAAAAAAACGCATCGGGGAGAGTTGGTGAAAATCCAACCCCGTCCACTTCTGGTGTTGTTCAATGCGCGCGCAGAGCGACGCGGGAGCCGCTCGAAAGTATTTGGTGTTTCATGTTTAATGAAAGTGTCCGACTTGGAACAAGTGGCTGAGTTCATCACTTGAGCATTACCCCATCCTCATAATGATATTATATTTTATATACGGGATACAACTAGAAAGCATAGCAGAGAATGAATACCGGACCGGGATAAATAAATACAAATTATCCGTGTCTTTAAAGACGAATATTGCTGAGGTGGCGTTATAAGCCAGGTTTCAGCCGTGTTCTCAACTGTGGTGAGCTAATGCTCTCAGCTCAGTCACCATTTAATTTGGATAAACTCAAGCTCTCAGAATAAACAATATTTGTTTGACTGCAATGCGGCAAAACAATACTCTCATGTGACACGGCTGAGCGCGTGGGAAAGTGCTGCTCCTTACTGTGCGGACCAGGGGTCACCTTCTGAGAACTCAAGAGGTAGTTCTGTGACGTACAGTTACAGGGGACGTTCTCTAACAAGGGTTATTGCACTGCCCTGCAAGAGCTCCAAATGGAAACTGTATCGTGACATGTAGCCAATCAGGATAGAATATTGGCAAAATAAAAAAAATAATTACATATTTTTAAGGAACAATCTTTTTGCAGCAAGTGAAAGAATAATTATTGGCTCTGGGCTACAGCCTCTAAGGCAGCTTCCCAAGTCACTCATAACAACCTTCAGCGAGCAGTAAGTTGTATATTTGTCGCTTGTTAACCTCAGACAGCTCCCCTCCCTGCGCGTTGAAGCCCTCTCAGGTCACCGCAAATCACAAAGCCATGGCAGGGGCACCGAAGTTACCCCGTGATCAAAGACATGTTACCCCCACCACCAGGCCCTCTCTCCCAGCTGAGCCACTCTCTCGCCACCACAACGGTGCTCGCTCGCTCGCAGTTGCATCGGCTCTGTGCCGTAGCTACGGTGATTGTTAACCACGTTTTGCTCACCAGGTCACGTGTGTATGTATGTGAAAGTGCAAACAAACATGCTCTGATAATTATATATGCATTTTTTTAACTGATTGGTAGACTTTCGCGACCAATATCATCCATAAGAGGGTTTTTTTTAGGTTGGATCGTGTAAATATATATATATATAAATGTATCGTTGAACCCGCCACCACCCGACACAGCCAACTAGTAAGGTTTGTTAAGTAAACAAAACATGCCAATTCGCCACTAGGACAGCCAAGCCTACAACATTTACAAACTGAGTACGACGTTTCGCCAGTAATTACAACTAGCTTCATCAGGCGACAGCCTGATGGCTGTGTCGGGTACTGGCGGGTTTTAACGACACATTTATATATTTACGCGATCTAAAAAAAAAAACCTCTTATGGATAAACTGATTGGCCTACACCAGAGACAGTTTTCTTTAGAGCCGAGTCACGCCACCAGTGTCAGACCAGAGAACGCCGAAAGGCGAACAGCACAAGGACAATGCCACTATCAGAGCACTTATATCTCGGGGGGAACAGCTACAACATGGTACCTTTATGCCAGTATCGTGTGGTTAATGTAGACTTGATTCATTGCACAAGGCATGTATTTGGTATTTGAACATCTTAACACCTGTTGTGTTGCCATAAAGGGCAAAACCTATTCTTATTTTTCATACTTTTATAGTGGAAAAACGGTCCCATGATATGTTGAACTTCTTTGGCACCGTACGTAACCAACCGTGCTCATAGGAGGTGCGGGGGAAGGACGGTGATGCCGCTGCTGCATTGGCAGCGGTGCGCAAGCCCAAATAACAAAAACAAACTCAACCTGTTCGTCAATAACACCGTGTGGCCGTGACGTTTCGGGCAGTGGCTCTTCTTAATAGCGCATAAATAAAGAGGCCAAGTATTACGATACTCAGCTCTTGATTATTGAAGGCTCTGTCTGTTACTCGACAGCTACTAACAGGTCACTATTCACGAGCCAATTGAAAAACGGTTCAACGGGCAACATGTCACCGCACCTCCGATTGGCTGCGTACGGCGCGGGAGAAGTTCAAGAAACAAACGTCACTTTTCATACTCTCTGGTTCTTTCGGTAAAGTCACGTAGGTAGAAAATTAATAGATCACGACGTTTCGGTCACAGCACAAGCAACCGTCATCAGGTGACGCAGTTCTCCTGCTGTGTTTGTCTCATCTGATGACGGTTGCTTGTGTTGCGACCGAAACGTCGTGACCTATTAATTTTCTACCTACGTGACTTTACCGAAAGAACCAAAGAGTGTGGATTCCTGCAGTCACGAAAGCTTCAAATCAACACTTTCATGTCATTCTTATTCAGGCTCCGTGGTGTTAAAGTGCAGTCTTCCAACTCTTTGAGTATCCACTCCGGCTCACTTCTGGCCTCTCTGCTCGTGTGTGATGATGATGAAGGGCCTGTTGCTCGTCACGTCGCCCTTGTTATGAACGCTTTCCACCAAGATCTGAAAAGCGTGAAAGCATTGACGCTTCGACTCCGTCCAGTGCAATAGCCTGCGGAGAAAGTTACAGCCGAATAACCGCGCGTCCTTCGCTTACAAATAGACGACAGCCCCACAAAGACGAACAACGTCTGTGTTTTACACGAGAGGTCTGGGTCATTAATACAGTCACGAATACGCATTGCAAGAAATGGTCAACATATGCGACTACCGTAAAGCTGATGCAAAGCTGGATACTGCCTAAGCACAACCCTCATAAACAACATTTTTTTATTAGGAAGCTACTGGAGATACGCACTTGTAAATCTAAATGGAAAACTAATTTCTTTAGAAGTGCCGTTTGTGTTTTGTGTGTTGTCGTTCCCCCGCACCTCAGATTAGCACGGTTGGCTACATACGGTGCGAAAGAAGTTCAACATACAGTGCATATATAACGCTTAGGAAGGCCGTCATCCAGCAGTGGATTGATCACGCGCTGATGATTAATCGCGTTCAGTGCCGCGTGATGGTGCGCATGGACTGAAGTTCCTCTTTGCAAACCCTCAATTAGCCACAAGACGAATTCGTTCGCGTTCACAATCCATCTTCGATGCAGCAGCAGCAGCAGCTGCTGCGGTAGCAGCAAGCCAGAGAAATTGTGCTCTTGGCAATCAATGATATTTCCGCGCAAAAAAGATCACTAAAGCAACGCGTCCCAGGAGGTTCCCACAGTCATGGTAACGATCATCGTCTGTCCGTGGCAATAGCTCGTCACCGCGCCGCACAGAGGCCCGGACGAGGTGCGCCAGCCGTCGATTCTGCTGCATACTTCCCACGTGAGAGTTGGGGAGGGGGGGGGGGGAGAGTGAAGGGGGGGGCAACCAAAATCGAACTCAGATGCCGGGTGAGATGGAACGCACAGCAGATGCCCTCGCGAACTACAGACAGAGCAGCAGGCCGCCG